CTGGGTACAGCTGGGCAGAGCGGGAAAAAGTTGGTAAAGACACTGATGTACTTTGAAGGCTGTCCAAAACCATTGGGTTTTACAGTGAGTTCTTAATTCTTCTGATTATAGATACAATGAATTACAAAATGGTAACTTCTGTGATATTGGTTGACAAATGCGGTGCCTAGAATGCTTGCTTTTACAAATGGTAGTCTGCTATGAAGAGCTTCCCTAATACTCATTTTCACTATTCAATTTCTTTCCAGATTTTACTTAGAGGTGCCAATGGAGATGAGTTGAAGAAAGTGAAACATGTGGTACAGTATGGAGTTTTTGCGGCATATCACTTAGCTTTGGAGACTTCTTTTCTTGCTGATGAAGGAGCTTCTCCAGAACTTCCATTTAATTCTTCAATAACTGTTGCACTTCCAGATAAACTATCAAGTATTGAGAGATCCATCTCAACTGTGCCAGGTTTCAGTGTACCTGTCAGTGATAAATCTCAGGGTCCTCGTCATACCAGTGAATCACAAAGATCAATTAGTATCCCTACTGAGGGGGTGGCTGCTATAGCGGGTGATGGTGGTTCTTTTGAGAGTGGTGAAATGAAAACCCTAACCGAGAACACTGTTCCTCTATCTGTTGAACCTACTTTGCCTAGTTTCAGTGCTGCAGCATTTCTTCCCTCACTCCAATCTACAATCAAAGTCGTTGCTGATTCATACTGTACATTTGATGAGAAAAACAGACTTGGGTTGGAAGGTACTCCAGTGACTGAAATTTCCATGGTTGGTGATGGCCTGTTTTCTCTGAACGATCATTTTGCTGGTAATATGCCTGGTCCTGTGGACGGGATCACAGTTGGTGGCAAATCTAACCTTGGTGAGACGATACTTCCTCCACAACTAAGCTCAGAGGTTTCATCAGGGCAAAAGGACGGTAACAACAATGTGGAGGATCCAGGACCTCTAAAAGAGGACTTCCCTCCTTCACCTTCAGACCATCAGAGCATTCTGGTTTCCTTGTCTTCCCGCTGTGTATGGAAAGGAACTGTCTGTGAGCGGTCCCATCTATTCCGGATAAAATACTATGGTAGCTTTGACAAACCTTTAGGTCGGTTTTTGCGAGACCATTTATTTGATCAGGTAACTTACTGTGAACAGTTTGATGTATCCTTAAGTAAACCTTTTTTTTTTCCATTAATTTTATTATTTTGCTGAAAGACTTCATCTTTCCGAGCCTGTTCCCTTTAAGATGATAAATTTCTTCTGTTGCAGAGTTATTCATGCCGCATCTGTGAGATGCCATCAGAAGCACATGTTCATTGTTATACTCATCGGCAGGGCACCCTTACAATATCTGTAAAGAAGCTACCTGAATTCCTCTTACCAGGTGAAAGGGATGGGAAAATCTGGATGTGGCATAGATGTCTAAAGTGTCCAAGGACTAACGGTTTTCCTCCAGCCACTCGAAGAGTAATAATGTCTGATGCTGCTTGGGGATTGTCTTTTGGTAAATTTTTGGAGCTTAGTTTTTCAAATCATGCAGCTGCAAGTAGAGTGGCAAGTTGTGGTCATTCACTGCACAGGGATTGTCTTCGTTTCTACGGGTATTATTTTTATTGCATTGATTGAGCTAGGAGTAAGTTTCTTGCTGTCTCTCTTTCTGACTTCCCATGATGTACAGGTTTGGGAAAATGGTTGCTTGCTTTCGCTATGCTTCAATTAATGTCCTCTCAGTGTACCTTCCACCTTCAAAACTTGATTTCAGCCTTGGAAACCAGGAGTGGATACAGAAAGAGGCGGCAGAGGTACAGAGACTACTACAATCTGGATGACGAGTTATTTGATTTACTATTCATATTCTTCTGGCCGTTAAAGATTTAATCATCCAAAATATCAGGTGGTGGACAGGGCTGAGCTTCTGTTTTCTGAGATACTCACTGCCCTTGGTCGAATTGCTGAGAAACGTCGTGCTGCAGCACTGCATAATGGTAGCACAAAGCCTACCGAATCAAGACGGCAGATAACTGAACTTGAAGCCCTGTTAAAAAAGGAGAAGGCAGAATTTCAGGTGAGGCATAGTGCAAAAACCAGAATTTCAAGACGACTACATAATAATTTTTATGCAACATTTATCTGATTCGCAAACCAATTTTTTTCCTGTCTGAAAAAATACCTCTTTTATTGTGATTTTTCTCACTTTAGGAATCACTACAAAAAGTTGTGCACAAGGAAGCAAATAGGGGGCAACCTGCAATTGATATTCTTGAGATAAATCGACTGAGGAGGCAACTACTTTTCCAGTCATACATGTGGGATCACCGACTGATCTATGCTGCTAATTTGGATGATAACAACTGCGAAGATGTGCTCAATGGCTCTCCTTCAGCAAAAGCGGAAAAATCTCCTGGTAGTACTGGTATGAGCTCAGTGGACCTCTCTCCTCTACGAACAAACATATCTGACCATCGTCAATCGGGTGCCTTAGATAGTGTGTCCAATCAGTCTAGCCCAGTTGACAAAGAAAAAGAAAATCCTGATGTAGACTCTAGTCCTGATAAAGAAAACAGTGCTAAACTTGCTAGTACCGTGTCAATGTGTGATCAGTATGAAAGCCTTGAATCTGGCGGAGTTGTTCGAAGAACCCTTTCTGAGGGTCAGGTCCCCATTTTGGCCAATTTATCTGAGACTCTTGATGCTGCTTGGACAGGGGAGAATCACTTGGGGGCAGGCATACTAAAGGATAATGGCCTTGAGTCACTCTTGAGTGATTCCTCTACTCCAGTTTCTGGCGCATTCGAGTTTGACAATCATGTGGGGAACAACAATGGGACAAAGGGCCCTGATGACACAGAAGAATCTGTTAGCTGGTTAAGAATGCCCTTCTTGAACTTTTATCGATCCCTCAACAAAAATTTCCTGGCCAGCTCTGAGAAGCTCGACACCTTGAATGATTACAATCCGGTGTACGTTTCATCCTTCAGGCAGCTTGAATTAAAAGGTGGGGCCCGGCTTCTTCTTCCTGTGGGCATTAATGACACTGTCATCCCTGTCTATGATGATGAACCCACGAGTATCATATCTTATGCCCTTGTATCACCTGAATATCATGGCCAAGTAACTGATGAACTCGAGCGGATGAATTACAGTGCTGATTTTGGTTCATCATCATTTAGTTTCCCCGACTCCATGGCTTCTCAGTCCTTCCACTTTGCGGATGATATGAGCTTTGATTCTCACAAAAGTCTTGGTGGGTCTACCGAGGATACCACCACCTTAACCATGTCTGCATCTCGTAGCTCTTTGATTCTGGACCCACTTTCATACACAAAGACATTGCATGCTAGAGTTTCTTTCGGAGATGATGGTCCAATTGGGAAGGTGAAATATTCTGTCACTTGTTACTATGCACAGCAGTTTGCTGCACTAAGGAGGATGTGTTGCCCAAATGAGCTCGATTTTGTGAGGTCTCTCAGTCGCTGTAAGAAGTGGGGGGCTCAAGGTGGTAAAAGCAATGTCTTCTTTGCAAAGACTTTGGATGACAGGTTCATCATCAAACAAGTGACAAAGACGGAACTGGAATCGTTCATAAAATTTGCGCCCGAATACTTCAAGTACCTTTCTGAATCAATTAGTTCACGCAGTCCAACTTGCTTGGCAAAGATACTTGGAATATATCAGGTAGTTGTTCTCAACAACTTTTCTTGCAGATAATAGCCTGTCTACTATCTGTCTTTTTTCTCTAAGCCATGTATGAGAAGTACAACTAATTAAGTATTTTTTAATTATAATCTTCTAAGGTTGCATCGAAGCATCTGAAAAGCGGGAAAGAATCCAAAATGGATGTTCTGGTCATGGAGAATCTTCTGTTCAGAAGAAACGTGACACGCCTTTATGATCTGAAGGGCTCTTCAAGATCAAGGTACAACCCAGATTCCACTGGGAATAACAAAGTTCTGCTTGATCAGAACTTGATTGAAGCCATGCCAACTTCTCCCATCTTTGTGGGCAACAAGGCGAAGCGGTTGCTTGAAAGAGCAGTGTGGAACGACACCTCTTTCCTTGCAGTAAGTTGTTATGGTCTATCAATACCATGTGGTGGTGTTGACTGTGATTCATGTGCTGATTGATATATGATTCAGCATTTTGTTTTCTGTAACACTTGACAAAATATTAAATAATGCCTTGCAGTCAATCGATGTGATGGATTACTCTTTGTTGGTTGGACTGGATGAAGAGAAGCACGAGCTAGTTCTTGGGATCATTGACTTCATGAGGCAGTATACATGGGATAAGCATCTGGAGACTTGGGTGAAGGCATCAGGAATACTAGGTGGTCCAAAGAACTCAACTCCTACTGTTATATCCCCAATGCAATACAAGAAGAGGTTCAGGAAAGCAATGACTACCTATTTCTTGATGGTCCCAGATCAATGGTCTCCTCCCTCCATTCTCCCAACTAAATCTCTATCTGATGTGGGGGAGGATAACACCCAAGGGTCTGCATCAGTTGAGTAAAATGTTGGAGCAGCAGCAAGCTAATTATTAAGCCATTGTGCTCTCTTTTCTGTCCATTGTACATTTCCCCCCTATTATTTTGGGCTGTCACATTCATTTGGTCTTTTCAACTCTTCTGCTTCCTTTTTGTTGGGGAAAATTTTCATTTTTTAGGTGTGGAAATGGGGAGTGTTGCAGCTGTAGTTTTGGTTGGATGAAAGGGGAAGATCATGAAAGAGTGTTTATTAGGGTGGGAGATTAGAGGAAGGGTAATAATAGGGCTATAGCAGAGGAATGTCAAAGAGGTATAATATTGGATTACCTCTGCCCATGCATGGGGCATCATAATCATCTTTGTTTCTGTACAAAAAATATTTGTTCTTGTGTTATAGAATTAATGAAAGCAACAAATATTTATAATGTAAATCTAGTCCAAGTGAATCTTAGTACTACTTTTTTTTAATATACATTTGGAAGATAAAGGGGTTGGTTTCCTCGTTCTACTTTAGGTATCGTTCTCGAGGTCCTTTTCGTGTATTATGCGAGCAGAAGAAGGAAGGGTTCCATGGTTGTAGTTCTGTGCTTGTCTCCCAGATGCATTGCATGATGAGTAAAAAATGGTCCATACCATCATATGTTATTTCTGCAGTAATCCTGTGGACCATTTGTTCCTTTTGATTGAACAAACAGAAAGTGAAAAGAGTGACTAGAAAACATCTCTGTTATCACATTTATATACAGGTTTTTGCAGAAAGCAGGTATAATGAGTTGGTCGCATAAATAGATGGCCGGTGGAGATATGACTTGGTTTATACGCTACTGGACTTTGAAAGGTCTTCTTGCGGGGTAAAAATAGCTCCAGCACTCTGATATTGATCACCATCATCACCATGAGAGCCATTAACAATCTGCAGAAGCCGCTGCTGAAGGAGGTTGATCATGATCTGCACATCCCTGATCACGAACATTACATGTTACAGTATATTTGATTATTGGATGACCAGATGCTGCTGATACAATGATGATTGTAATGATGAATCAACCATGATATGAGATTGATCATCATACCTCGACGAAGAATGATGTCGATATGCAGCAGGAATCTGTCGCTGGTGCAGGTCATCTAAACAACGAGGGCCTTCATCGTATGCTTCGCAAATTACTTCCCCAGTTCTCACATCTGTATAACAAACTATACCCTCAACTGGGTTCTCGAATATCTATCCTCCAGAAACAGTTGAGGTTCGAGAATTTAATGAGCCAGCAGGACAATTATTATACATGATGAGAGAGGAAAGGAAGGAAGAATTTATAGACTTTTGATCCATGTAATGTGCATAAGTTACCTACCTTGTTTTTGAAGGAGGAACAAGAGTAAGATTTGATCATGATCCCCACAGGTTTATGAGCTTTCTTATTGCTGCTGCTGAGTGGAAGCTGGTGTGGAATTGAAGAAGCTGCAGATGTCTGCATTACTGGGAAGTGTGGTGGCGAGGAAGGCCATCTTAATGCAACCATTTGATCAAACACCTTACACTAACAAGCATATGTGTGAAAAGCTGTTTTCTTTACAAACAGACAGAGAGAGGGAGAGAGAGAGGTAATGAGGTATGAAGAAAACTGTAGGCGTTTACTTTGGTGTTGCAGCTGATAGAATCGTTAGTGGTTGCTGTGAGTATGTTACTGCTGGGGAGGTTGTCTTTGTCAATGGTGCACTATCTTATAGTTATAAGAGATAATATGGTGAAAGGTAGTGGGGCCATTTTCCCTGTATCTGCTTATCTTCTACCTCGATCCAATAATTCAAGCCATTGAAAGGTCGGGTGGAAGAGGAGAGGATTGTTATTAAATTATGGTCTACCGTGTTTTGTTGGTTGTTCTTGATTCATTCCACCTAACTAAGGTGTCATTTTATCAAACCATGATTAGACAGTGTTGTTTTAAGTAATCAGTGAGAATTTGTTTATAAATGGAGGTTTTGACTACAGCACGTCTTAGTATGAAAGAAAAAAAGGATTGATTTAGGGTGAAGATGAGAATCATTGAATTCATTATCTTTCTTTTGGATGATATTGAGCCAAATATTTTTTTAAACAAAAAATATGATCACAAAAAAATAGAATTAAGGTAAATAGAATTAAGGTTGTCAACCCGGTTTAGCATGTTGGATCAGTGGAGCAAGTGAGTTGAGGGTTAATGGTCCGACCGCTTTCGTCCCGTAGCCCGGATATATGAAAATTTCATTATATTGTCTATACATTTATAAATTATATCAAATCTCATCTAATATATGAGTAATAATATATAAAACTATATCAAAATAACATGTCGTTGCCGTACTTGGATAGAAACATATAGTGAAAATTCTTACACACTTATATAACATCAATATTCAAATGTTCAATTTAGAATTCCAAAGATAGGGTTAGTCGAAGTGGAAAACCGAAGAATAGAGGCATTTTGCAAACAAAATGGAAAACGACACTGTGTTACCTCCAACCCGACAACCTTGCAATGGGTCGACCCAACAGGTGTGTGCAACCCATTTTTCCCAGCGAGTCGAGTCAAAATGAGTCAACTCGCAAGATGACCTACGATTTGACAACCTTGCATAGAATTGCTACCCTATTAATTTACATATTTTCTCCCTCTCTTCTTCAAAACCCTAACCCTGTGTTCATTAACGAAGGAAATGGGAGGAAAGGAAAGTATTGGAGGGAAAGCACAATTCCCAAGGGTTTTCCTCCGTTCTTTAAGCTTAGCTACAGTTCCAAGGGAAAAGAAATAAAAAGAAAAAAGAATTGTACAAGCCTCCCCTCCGATTTGGGAGGAAAGCTGTTTATTTATTTTTTTTATAGGAAGAGGAAAGCTGTTTATTGTGGGTCTTGTCATGACCCAATTTATTATTTTTCCTTTATCTTCTTTCCTCTGTTTACTTTTCCTTTATTTTTATTATTTAAATTGGGCTAAATAATAACTACCCTATTATTTTATTAATGGCCGGAACACGTTTCTTCCACCTAATTAAGGATTCGGTTTGTTCAAGCTGGTTTTCTTTTTGTGATAGTTTTTTTTACGAATTTTTTTTTTGGTCATAGTGGGTATGGATTAAGGAGATTAATTAGAGATTTTATAAAATATAAAATAATTGGGGGCGTTTGACGTAGAGGCCATTTAATTGATGATAAGTGATTATTATTAAAATTAGTGTATGTAAAATCATACTGTACGGCGTACGATTCATATGGGTGATTACGTCACGTATAACATTATTTTACGCGATACGTAAACCTGCTACATGATATGTAAAATTGTGTTACGATCCTTGTAAAAACAAATAAAAACAAACTGTGTCACAAAAAAAAATTCAAGTCATCTACTTTTGATTTTTAATAGTGAACAAAATTAGTAAGAAAGTACAAATTTAATTCACAATTCATAACCAATGAAAATAATATCAACATATAATCAAATTATTTTACTATTATATACCCAATAAAATAACATATCCATCACAATTTCCAATACACATTTTCCTTCTCACTTTCCTCCATAAAACACCATTTTCCTTCCAATTTCCTTCACCTCCAAATCTCCCCTCCCCTCCTAATTTTCCTTCACCTCCCCTCCTTTTCCTCTCTTCCTTCGGAAACAGAGGGTAACACTATGTTCACTTTTTTTTTTTTGACAAAAGATAATCATATATTGATATTGAAGAATAGATCGTTACACCATATGCCTTAACCAGGCTACAAAATCAAAAGAACGACTCACAATCGGGTACAAAGAAAGGGCTTTTCTAGCCACCAAGTGGGCTACCCTGTTACAACGCCGACCAACGAAAGGAACCCTAAACCCTTCATTCTCCGCCAGATAGAGGAGCACTTCACGAAAAATCGCACCCGCAGTACTATCACTCCCCTGGGCCGAATTGAGCCTGTCAATCACCACCTTTGCATCCCCCTCAAATTGAACTTGCATGAGCCCTCGGGTGCGGCACCACAGGATGGCCTCCCGGAGAACCAAAAGCTCAACGAGCTTCGGATCGTCCACCTCTGGAAAGTAGACACCTATAGCACCATCCACCTCCCTGTCCGGTCCCAGCAACACCACCCCCCCGGCCGAGTGTGACCCATGCCTGACCGCTCCATCCCACATACAAACAGTGGTACCCTGGGGGGTATGGGACACCCGAGGAATACCATCCACCGGGTTGTACCCCACCCCCTCCCTCGGGAGCGAAACCCATTCCCCCAGCTGCTGGTGGTACTGACGGAGTAAAGCCGGAAACCCAAATTGTTTGCCCTCAAAGACTACTTGACTTCCATATCCGCCAGAGCACAGCCACCACCGCCATGATCTGCGAAGGGTCTTTGATGATGGCCAGCAGTCTTTTAAGAAAAAGAGGGAAAGTATGGCGAGGCAACCCTTGGCCCACATGCTCTAACCCCGCATAATCCCACATCGCCCGAGCCACCCGACACTCCAAAAAGAGGTGTTCCATCGTCTCCGGCGCAGCCCAGCAAACCGGGCACCGGGGATGAACAGCCACCCTCCTCCCAATAAGCGCCTCTATAGTGGGCAGGAAACGATGCAACACTTGCCATAAGAACACCTTCAACTTGGGCGGAATCCCGAGATTCCACACCCGCTTCCAACTTGCCCGATCCATCCAACTAACTGTTGGGCGCCAGCCCCCAGCTTGCTGATCCATGCTAACAGCCAAGTGATAAGCAGATTTCACCGAAAAAACCCCATCCCCCGTCATATGCCAAACGAGCCTATCCTCCATCGCCCTCCTAGGCAGCGGAATACTCCGAATAGCACGGCAAACATCAGGGGGAAACCAATCACCCAATTTATCCACCAACCACCGCCCCTCCACCGGGAAAACAAAATTCGCCACCTTTAGATCCCCCTCGTCAGGGAAAATTCGTGGATTAACCGTGGGTGGGTCAGGATGGAGCGCTGGAACCCAACACTCAGTTAAAGCATTTATCCCCCTACCATCCCCCACCTGCCATCTAAGCCCACGGGCGAGCAACTGCCTTCCATACAGAATACTTTGCCAACTCCAGGAAGGCCGCGATCGAGCATTCGCTGAAAGGAAGGACCCACGAGGAAAATATTTCCCTTTATACACCCGGGCTAGGAGGGATTGGGGATCCATCAAAATGCGCCACCCAATCTTAGCCAGTAACGCCTGGTTAAAAAACTCAAAATGCCGGAAACCCAGCCCTCCCTCATGCTTACTCCTACACATCCTTCTCCAAGACATCCACCTGATCCGTGACTGTCCGTCCTCGACTCCCCACCAAAATCGTGCTACCAAGCGATCCAGACTTCTACAAAGTGAGAGCGGCAGCTTGAAGCATGACATCACATGTAACGGGAGTGCCGAAGCAACAGACTTTATCAAGGTTTCCCTGGCGGCCGGAGATAAAGTCCTCTGAGCCCATCCTTGCAGCCGTGCGATTAACCGCTCCTCCACGAACCGGAACGTGGCCGTCTTCGACCTTGCAATGAGGGAGGGCAGACCCAGATACTTATCATGGACACCAACTGCCCCAACCCCCAAGATTTGAGCCAGAAACTCTTGATCCTGAACAACTATGTTTTTACTAAAGCACACCGCCGATTTCCCCAGGTTAACCCGCTGGCCACTCAGTTCCTCATATTCGTTCAGCACCTCGATCAAATTCTCACATTGTTGAAGCGAACCTCGTAAGAATAAATACGAATCATCCGCAAAAAACAAGTGGGAGATCCTGGGTGCCTGGGGTGCCACCTTTACTCCCTCCAACCTCCCCTCATCAATGGCCCTGCGCAGGAGCGCCGAGAACCCTTCAGTACATAACACGAACAAAAGTGGAGAAAGGGGGTCACCTTGGCGCAGCCCACGGGACGAACGAAAAAACCCTGCCGGAGAACCATTCATAAGTACGGAGAAGGAGGCCGAACTAAGACACTCCCTAATCCAACCAATCCACGTTTGGTTGAAACCCAGTTTAGCTAGAATCGCAAGCAGAAAGGGCCACTCAACTCTATCATAGGCTTTTTCCATATCTACCTTCAGAGCCATATAGCCTTTCTTCCCACGATTCTTAATTTTTAGGTAGTGCATTAGCTCATGCCTCAACAGCACGTTTTCCACAATCTGTCGTTCCCGGATAAAAGCATTCTGGCCCTCCGAAATGATCGCAGGTAGGAAAGGGGCCAGACGTTCAGTCATAATCTTAGTAATTACCTTATACACAAATTGGCACAAGCTAATGGGCCTTAGCTGGCGAATGGTCTCCACATTATCCACCTTCGGGATCAAGGTGAGCCAAGTATGGTTAAAACTCCGCAATAGGCGGTTCGTTTGAAAGAAAGAGCTAACAGCCTCAACCACCGACTCGTCCACTATATCCCAAAAAGATTTGAAAAATTTCCCCGTGAAACCATCAGACCCAGGAGCCTGCCTGGAGCCCATGGAGAATACCGTACTCCGTATTTCTGCTGGCAACACCGCCGCAGTAAGCTGAGCATTCATTTCCTCAGTAACTTTCCTCTGCAGAGGCAAGGCCTCAACCCTGGCCCCCATATCAGGAACTTGATTTTCTGAAGAAAAGAGGTGTTGATAAAATTCTGAAGCCAAATCAGCCTTTCCTCTTTCTTCCGTAATCCACTCCCCCGCGTCATTACGCAAGCCCACCATGAAATTACGCTTACGTCTAGCCCGAGTGACCGTATGAAAATAGGAAGTATTCTGATCTCCTCGTCTCAACCAGCGCACTCTAGATTTCTGCTGCCAGTACATCTCTTCCGCCTCCCACTGGCGACTAAGCTCATTTTCGAGTAGCCGCACTTCGTCACAGTTAATTGGGGACACCTGTTTGATTCGATCTATCTCAGCTTGGAGTGTATTTATATTCCGAAGAGAATTAGTCGTCCCTGCTCTACTCCAGTCATATAACAGGTGTCGAAGGCGTTTCAAACGAGTCCACAATCTATACATAGGGGAACCCTCCACCTCCTCATTCCACACATAGACCACCATCGCCCTCACCTCCGGATTCTCAACCCAGCGAGCATCAAACCGGAATAGGGGACGACAAATGTGGGGGTAGGATTTATCAGACAACAGCAGGGCCCTATGATCCAACCATTGATCCGTAAAGTGTTTCACCATAGATTCAGGGAACCGGTCCATCCAACCTTGAGAGCAAAGAGCACGATCAAGCCTCTCACGAATACAAGCTTGGCCCATTCTTTTATTAGTCCAAGTGAACGGATCCCCCTGAAACCCCGGATCATGAAGGCCCAGATTATGGATAAAACAATGGAGGGCAATTGATTGGCCCACATTCCACGCATTCCCCCCATCTTTTTCCCCAGCATGCAACGTAGCATTAAAATCGCCAATTACCACAAATGGCATTTCGATAGTATCACAAATTTGTCTTAGTTGAGCCAGCTGAGAGGCTCTCTGGGACTCAATGCAGCTAATATACACATTCACCACCACATAAGAAAAATCACCTTCATTAATACGAATACAAATAGCAAAATCCGAATGAAAAAACACCGAAGCATCAACTTCAGGCATCCAAGCTACAACTAGACCACCAGATGCATCGACTGCATCCACAAAATGACAATGCGAAAGTTGAAAACCTAATCCCCTCAAACGACGGGAGACAACACGCCGACGAGACCGAGTCTCAGAAAAGAAAACAATATCAGGTCTATTTGACCGAACCAGACCCACAGCAGACTGAAATGTGAGGGGGGATCCGATTCCCCTCACATTCCATGCCAATATCTTCATTTATCCGGCTGGGGCCATTTCCGGCTGGCTTCCTCCACCGATTTCAGCATCTCTTCCTCAACCTCTTCCACAAATTGCTTCTTCACCATGGAGCTCTCCTCCCCATCCTCCATCGCCTCACTCCACAAACGCTTACGTCCACCTCCCCCTATCCCTTCAACATTCGATCCATATTCATCAATCTGGACTACATCGCCCACCTTCTCAGCATCATTACCCGCCATTTTGCAAGCCTCGAACGCCTGTACTACCTGCTTGACCCGTCCTGGCATCATCAGTTTATCATCTGCATCCACCACCAGAGGAGCCCGACTCTTAATCACAAACTGGTCCGCAGCTCGATCCGATAATGTTGCATCCGAATCATCCTCCAATGCGCCCTTACTTTTCAAAGATGGCTCCCACTCCTCTGACTCTTCCTCCACCATCACCATTTTCCCCTTTCGCACCCGAGCAGCCCGTTGCGCCTCTTCACCTGCAGCCTCTTCTCGATCCCCCTTCAAGCTGCCAAGCAGCTCCCGGGACGTTGATTGATCCCGCACCGGAGAGGCCACTCGAGGGGTCCCATTTTGACCCAAGCCATTCGTCCCCTTCTCACCAACAGCAGCGGACAGCAGCGGTTCATCATCCTCCGACTCCTCCATCAGCAGCTCGCGCCTCCTCACAGCAAGGTCTTGAAGAACTTGAGGAGGCTCCTGACCTTGCTTCAAACCACGGCGAAGTTTCTTCTTCCCCGCCCGTCGCACCCCCTGCTGTCCATGACCAGCGGCCACACTCAACTGCTTGCGGCCTACACGAGGCGACTCCTCCGTATTTCCCTCCGCCTTTACCCTTCCCTTCCCTCCCGCCGGCTCTTTTGCTCCAGGTGCGCGCCCCCATGCTCCACCTCCATGGGCGTGTTCGATCGGCCCAACCGCTGCAGGCGCACAGGTTTGGAAACCAAGAATCCCCGGGGACTAGGGTGCTGTCGGGCTGGCACCTCACCCACCTCCTTCTGCACCACACCATGACGCGCCTCCCGCGGGAGCTCCTGCCGCGAGCCGCCACCTCCACGAGGTCCGACCCGAGCCGGCCGAGCCTCCTTCTTCTCAGCAGCAACAGTGACCAGCCGTTTTCCTTCGTGGTCGCCCTCCATACTTGCTTCCTTCCGAGCCACTGGTCTGCCAGAGGACTCCTCAATTGCCCTCTGTGACTGCCGCAGATTTTGGTTGACCCAAACGGTTGGAGGGTTCTCCTCATCAGCCACGTACACCTTTACCCCCCGCTTCCGAGTTGACATGTGCATGCCAAATTTTTCCTTCCTAGCAGGAGGGTCGAACGCGCATTCGCGCTGGAAGTGCCCAACCCGGCCACATCGGAAACAGAAACTCGATAGCTGTTCATATTTTAGGGCCACCCAAAAGCACCCAATTTCATCATTAGCCGCCATTACCTGCGACCGCAGCGGCTTGGAGAAGTCTATCATTGCTCTCACTTTCACAAAGCATTGGTCCGAATCATGGCAAGTAAAGATGCCAGTTTCCAGCACCTTCCCGATCTTATCATTGGCGATTTTTCGCCCAAACTGAGGTGTGCATCATCCCTCCTTGATGTCCCATAGCTGGACGTGGAATGGAGCCACTGCCAAATCATCAAACACTTGTTTGGAAATCGTGGGTGTCCATGCCCGCACATGAAATATGCGATCGTTGATCACCCAAGGTGAACGCTTGATCACCCAGTTCTTGGAAGCTTCATTCGGCAGCAGGACTTCAAAGAGCCCAAACCTAGCCCCGATCACTTGCAGCCTGCCTTTTCCTTGCCATGGCGTCTCAAGGGCATCGCGCAGCTCCCTGGGCGTGAACGGGTTGGCCGAGAATAGCCTTCCCAGCACTGAGCGCGAGCTTCGATACCTCGTCGAGTGCACCTCCTCCAGGGAAAATTGAACAACCTGATCATCAGTCACATGCGACATCCTTCCTGCGTTCTGATCAATGGGCAAAATTAGTGCATGCACATCAACTTGCCTTTGGGAACCAGGGAGCAGCAAATCGCACTTCAAAAACGTTATGGGAGATACCCCAGGGAACCACGAGTGCTTACCGTGGAGAAACCTCTTCGTGCCTGCCAACCGTGTATTCCTCTCCAAGGCTTTAATTCCCCCCTCCCCCCCCCCCCCCCCGGTTCTGCTTTCCTTTCTTTGGAATGCAATGTGGTGGGAATAGCCATGAATGGAGAAAATATATAGAAATATTGGAGTCTCCTCCCTGAGCAAGGAGTTCGTTTAACCACGGTTGGCTTTAGGTTTTTTTTGTTGGATAAGGAATCAAATTTCAACCGAAATTGATCTTCACCCGTGATTCCAGGGGAAATCATATCAACGCGTCGGTTGGCCAGCTCACAGCTGGTACCTATCCGCACCAAAAATGGCAGTTTCTTCGGCCGAATAAACTCAAGCAAAATACTCCGATCAGCCGCCGGCGATGGAATCTCGGGGCACCCCCTCACCTCCGTCGTGTTTGCGCCTGCGGCGCAGTCCCCTGCAAGGCAGCATGCAGCCGCCAAGGGAATCTCGGCCTTGGAATCAACGATGTCAGCACCCGACCATTCTTTTTGTTGGCCGCCCCGAGGTTGTTCGATATTCAAACAATCACCATCCTCTATTTCCGAAGACGGCGGTAACACAAACCGCCATCCAACTTTAGAATCCGATTGCAGGCAGATCCTCTTTAGTGGAACTGGGAGCTTATGATTCTCCTCGCAACCTGCGTTCTTTCTCTTTCGCATCCACGATGCAGCCGGCCCAGACACGGCCGGTTTTCTTTCCTTCAATTTTCGGTGTCGGCCCTGACGAAGCTCTAGAACACCCCAAACCCTGGCTCTACCTAGTCTCTCACTATCTTCCAGTCCCTGGACCTTACCTCTAGCCCTCGATTTCTTGAGATTAGACTCACATCCCTGATTTGATAAGCTGGCCTCCAGGATTCCGATGAGGACCTCAACAAGGAGGCGGCCGACGAACCCGTGGGTTTGGGTTTGGGTTTGACAAAACCCGCCCCAACCCGACCCATTGCCATCCCTAGGTAGCGTACCACTAGAGACTAACACAAAAAACCATATATGAAATATGAGAAATTACAGATCTGGAAAAAAAATAAGGGGATGAGAAAAGGAAAGGCATGGGAGAGGCGGTGACCTCGCGGTGGCGCCGTGAAGACGAGAGGTGGTGGGAGGCGGAGGAAGAGGGAGGCAGAGGCAACAACGGCTGTGGTGGTGATGGTGTAAAGACGGCGGCGGGCGCGGCAGGGGCGAAGAGGGCAGTGTGGCGCGACAGGGGCAATGGGGGTAGCGTGGTCCTGCAGGGGGCGACGATGACAGTGTCGGTGTGAGGAGGACAACAGGAGGAAGGTGGCGACGACAACAGTATTGGAGGTCGGCGTAGTGATTCAGGTCGACGATGATGGAGGTCGGTGATGAAGCTCTTTGGCGGCTAGGGTTTTTTGTGAGATAGATGAGAGAGGAAGAGGAGGGAAACAAAGGGAATGGAGAGAAGGGAGTCTTATTATTATTATTTTTTTTTTTGTCAATGAAGAGTATTTATATGGAAAATGGAAAAGATCCCATGTGGTAAGTTTTCCATTCCGAAATTGCCCTTAAATTAATTTGTACCATTAATTTAAAAAAAGGAAGACAGAGAAGAGAATGAAGACTAGGATATGAAATAGGGATGACAATTACCCACCTATGAGTAATTATACCCAAATCCAAGTAGATCCATTCACAATGGGTTGGGTATGGGTGAAGTGCATATGGGTTTGGGGGTTTGTAAATGGGTTTGGGTAAGGTATGAGTATTGCTTCCATAATCTAAATGGGTATGGGTTGGATATGGATATCCATTTATTTGAGGTTGTTTTAACTACACATGCAAAAATTGGACCTATATGTAAAACTTGAAAAGTTTAGGTACCAAAATGTAAGACCAAAAATATTTAGGTACCAAAATGTAATTTTTCATTGATATTTTGAGGACTAATATGCACAAAATTAAATTTAGGTACTAAATATGCATATCTATTAAGTTTAGGTACCAAATTGTAATTTACATTTGGGCATGGGTGCAAACCCAAATCCATTTGTTATAAATCCAACTCAACCCAAGTAAATGGGCATGGGTGCAAACCCATCAAAATCTACCCATATCTATCTATTTGGATTTTATACCTAACCTAATCATGACAATCCCATTTTCCCAACCGCTTTGCACAACGTCCTTTTAAGGGCTGTGAAAATAGCAATTCACATTAGGGATGGCAATTTTGCTCTAGCAAAATTGCCATCCCTAATGTGAATTGCTATTTTCACAGCCCTTAAAATGGGATTGTCATGTAATCATGCAGCATCCAAAGTCCAAATGGCCCGTTAAATGCCGACCCTTTTCTTTTATATATGAATGAATAGGTTAATCTCTAATGGCAAGGATGATTCCCAACCTCTAGTTTCTTTATCTTCTCTTTTTTTTTTTTTGTAATTGTATTACAACTCAGAAGTCAACATCTGCAACATCTGCTGACTGGGAATGGTTGATTTGCATATCAGAATATGTCATATATTATTGTATTGTGCATGCCTTCCATAAATCACCCATCCACAGTGTATTTATCTGTCATAAAATAGCACTAGCAGTGGCGGTGAAACTGGTTTGTATAATGGCGTTGGATATGGAGTTGGATCAAAGAAGTGATTCTACGTAGAAGTGAAAAGATGAATTGAAGCATAAAGTTTAAGAACATAATTATTTATACATCGGCTAAAATGATTAATATTTTTCTAGGGATTGTGATGGATCGGGTTGGGTCGGGTTTCTTAAACCCGCAAAAAATTCAACGAGTGTGCGGTGCGCCTGTTAAAAAACCCGATAGAATACTCATTAAACTTTGGAAGAGAAAACTCAGACCCTACACAATGAGTATCAGTGGGTTCTCAAACACAATTGCTTATTGTCCTACAACTATACTAGCTAGTTGTATCATACTTGAACTAAATTAATAATGTCATTGTTTTAGTTTGATTATTCATCACTTTGATTTTCTTACAGCTTAGTTAAATTTTTGCTTTGAAAAATGCATTTCATATTTGTTGTCTGACATGTGAAAATACAGAACATGATAGCTGTGTCTGTTTCCCCAGCAATAACCTCCTTGGGGTCGTTTGGTTAAGGGTTTTTTATCAGGGATTTTAACACATTCCATCATCATCCCGGATTTAGACTAATTAACTCGTTTGGAAAGTGATAAAAAAAACTAGTGATTTTAACCATTCCGAATTTTGGAAACCTACTCGTGTCGGATTTGAAATCACTCGTTTTATTTTTGCTTATCCCAAATCTGTCCTCCCATCTCTTCCACAACAACCATCGTGTTCTTTGCTTACCTCTCTTCCGACAATTTCCACGTCTCATCCCAGCCCCAAAAGTTAACAAATATAAAACCCTCCGTTAGCCACAAGCCCAGAACAAAGTATCAACGACGACGACAACGGTGGTTGAGGTCGAAGAACTAGAGTCGGATTTAGGGTTCTGATTTTTGGGTTTCGACGATTCATGCTCATCGGCAAGTATCGCCGTCGGAGATTACGAGTGAAGGTGGAGGAAGGACCGCCGCCGTCGGGCATCGAATTCTCACCTCGTCAGAAGTGCCGGCGGGCTCTAAGTTCTGCCATTGATTGACTACTTGGGCCGACACTCTGGCTCCGTGAAGGACGGGTTCGATTTTGATCAGATCTGGAAATCGCAACTAGAGATCAATTTGGCGGTGGTGGAGTTTGGGTTTGCGATTGCGGCATGTTCTCGTTGTTTCCATGTTGTTGTTGTTGCTGTCACAGCGAATTGCAGAAGCGAAGGATGGTGAATGGTGGCAGACAGGTTTCAATCTCTCCTCAAAACTGGCTTGGGAATTTAAGGTGTATTCGTTTTTTTTCTGGGTTTCAAAGGAGATAAGAGAATCAACGTCAGAGTTCTGCAGACGAGGTAGAAGAATCAGAGTTCTGGGTTGCAAGGTCACCGGTTTAGCTAGGTCGTCGTATTTGACCGATCTGTCAGTTGGTTTTTACCTTTGCATCGAAGGAGGCAGAGGAAGGGGATGAGGTCAAATTAGACTTTGCACAATAGGGGTACAAATTCCTCATGTTTAAACAAACAAATGAATTGGTTCAAATAACTCATTTAAAATTCCTGGATTTTTAAGCGAGTGATTTGGATCAAAATCTCTCATATTAAAATCATTGATCCAAACGACCCCTTAAGTAATTTGCTTCGATGGTATTTTTTGTAACCCTTATTGTCAAGTTAAACTAAATTTAAGGAAAAAACTTTTAAGTGACCGTTTTGAAATTTGTCAATTTGATGACCATTTTTGACATTTGCCAAGAACAGATCCCAACAGAAGGGTAAGCCCAAACTATAATAAGCGGCCATTTTCAATTTATGGGCCAAAGCTTCCGTTTTATAATTCTTACAAGTACGCATAGCCGAAAGCCCATTAGTATAACAATGTCATTGTTAGGCAGCGGCCAGGCCCGCCCAAAAGCTTTTTCCAAGCCCAACAAACCGAAACGTTTCTCTGAAGCTTGTCTGGCTTGGATGACAAGTCGAGAAGAAAGGAAATTTACTCAATACTCATAGAGCAAGCAGCTTGTCAATCAATCGGAGCCTCCAAAAGCCCTTACTCTCCCCGCCGGTGGCCGCAAAATCGAGTTTCAGTGAAAAGAGCCGCCGTCAGGCTTCTCCGCTTCTCCCCATTACCTTTCCGTAGAACAGATCGAATTCCCGCAGTCGCCACAACATGTTTCTCACCAGGTAAATTCCCGAATTTCATCGCTGCTCTCCTCCTTGTTCCCGTTTTCTTTATTTGATTCCGACGTTCCTGATTTCGATTTCTAAGGACCGAGTATGACCGAGGAGTGAACACCTTCTCTCCCGAAGGCCGCCTCTTTCAGGTCGAATACGCTATCGAAGCCATCAAGGTAAATTACTGCTTGACCTAACTCACCTTTCCCCCCCTCCCTCACTAAATCTCGTAATCCCGCGAAACATTTGGGTTTATCGGGCTAAAGCTTGCTTTCTGCATATACCCCTTATCTGGGTTTTAGTCGATTAGTCCTATAGACTCCCCGGCCACCAAATTCTGCTGAATCACGGATCACTTCCTAACTAATGCTCATGAGTCGGTATGATACTTCGGTTTAGCGAGCTACAGACATTGTCTCGCCCCCGATCCATTCGTCTCCTATCTGACGTCTTAAGAGCTCTGTGTAGCTGCATGAAGTAGTTATGTTAGCTTACCGGTAGTTTATTTCCATGCTGAAGTTTACTTGCAACGAATTGTATGTTTGGAAGGTTGAAGTGAATCTGTCTGCAAACTTACATGACATATGACTGCACCATTTCCTAAGTTTCTCGCGAAAACATCTTTTCCAGAAGGATTGTAGGACATCCCATGATTCGTTTGTTCTATTTTTGTCAGCTTGGTTCTACTGCGATTGGGCTGAAGACAAAGGAAGGAGTTGTGCTTGCAGTTGAGAAGCGTATCACTTCTCCCCTCCTGGTTGGTTTCCCCTTTCTCTACTCTCTATTATGCAGCAGGTTTTTTCATGTGTTTAAAGCTTATTCTTTTGTTGAACCAATGATTGTGTAAATGGGCATGTTCTATGTGATTGTTTGTTTCTGTCTAACCTCGTACAAAAGAATGCCTGCTTAGTTATGGTTACTTCTTTGGTCCGAATTCACTGAGTGCCATTCAGAATGGTTCAACGAAGTTTTGGTCCTTCTTAGGCTACCATCTTAATTCTGTTCTGAAAATCAATGAAGGCCTAATAGAACTCCAGAAACATAGGGAGACTCTGCTTCCATTTCTGATGTGCTTTTGTGTGCCTTAGAGTAGCTCCTCTTTGTGTGTGGAGAAACAAAATTATATATTTTCTCATCTACTTTCTCAGGAGCCCAGCAGTGTGGAGAAAGTCATGGAGATCGATGAGCATATTGGATGTGCTATGAGTGGATTAATTGCAGATGCCCGTACTCTTGTTGAACATGCTCGTGTTGAAACTCAAGTAATCCTTCTGTTCCTACTATACTTCTGTCTTTGCAAGGATCCGGAGCTCCTTCACTGACTAACATGTAGCTTTCAGAATCATAGATTTTCATATGGCGAGCCAATGACTGTGGAGTCTACTACACAGGCCCTTTGTGATCTGGCCCTGAGATTTGGCGAAGGTGATGAAGAGTCTATGGTAATACACTTGTCGTAAATCTATGTATAATTAGTAGTGACTACTGTTAATCTCAGCTGAATTCCAGTGTTAAGCCTGCATCCAGAATCATTTGTTATGTTGACCTCTTTTCTCGGATGACTTTTTCTAGTTCATGTATCCCAATGATGTTTGGTGAGTTATCTACTAGGAACATGAGTTGTCTGCATCATTGTATAGTCTTCTGAACATTCACTGCATCAGCAACCAGAAGCACTAATAGTTTATACTCTCCAAATCTAGGAAAAGGAAATGTTATCCTGCTTGATAGTTGAGTGCAGTTTTTGGTCCTTGATGCATTACTGTAACAATTTGATCCAACTTGGTATTTATCAGTTTTTGCTCCTCTTTGCAGTCTCGCCCTTTCGGGGTATCGCTTCTCATTGCTGGTCATGATGAGAATGGTCCCAGCTTGTAAGTACTCATGCGTGCTTCATCTTTCTGGATATACTATGTTGCTTGCAGGTCTTGTGGGCTTTTCTTTAACCAGCTAATTTGCTTATGCAGGTACTACACAGATCCATCGGGCACATTTTGGCAGTGCAATGCGAAGGCTATTGGTTCAGGTTCTGAAGGTGCAGATAGCTCTCTGCAGGAGCAGTATAACAAGGTACTGTTGCTTTGTTTTGATGCTTGCAGTCTTCACATTTCCTTTTCTAAGTCTTCTGAGATTGGATGACAATATCACGTTAGATAGGCTCTTCAAGGTCTTCATCTTTTTCATAGTGTTGCATAGATTAGTGTAATGAATCTTGCTGTCTTCTGTAACCCACGAGAAGAATGTGTATGACGTTGCATTTTGTTTGTCATGCATTATAATAACATCCGTAATATAATCTGCAGGAACTCACTCTTCAGGAAGCTGAAACAATAGCACTTTCCATTCTAAAGCAAGTTATGGAGGAAAAGGTAATTTTCCCCCCTTTTCTTTTTCTTCTTATTCTGGGGCACCCTACTTGCGTATGCCGGCTGTATTGCTCTTGGTTGTCGAGTCTGAATTTAGAATATGCTGATGATTTGTAGGTAACACCCAACAACGTGGACATTGCCAAAGTGGCTCCGACATACCATTTGTACACCCCTTCTGAGGTGGAGGCCGTCATCAGTCGCCTATGATGAGATACTATGACCACATATTTCCTCCATAGACATGATATGTATCACTAGTTTTTGTCTTCTGTCAACTGTTTGTCGTTTCACCTGAGGGCTTGAGGATATCGAACCATGACAATGACTGCTTTGCTACTTTGAGCAATTTTAGTCCATGCCTGCCAGGATATCTGATGTTTCAGTAGTTTGAATTGGCTCAATGGATAGGGGTAAGTTGTGGTGAATTCACGGAAGGGGGAATGATTTTCTTGCCAATTGATGAACATTTGAGCCTTTTGATCGGAGAAATGGATCGTGTCGTTTTGAATTGTTGTCTATTGATGCGAGTGCAGTATCCCCTCTTTCGCATCATCATACCATGCACGCAAGGAACAAATATTTACTTGAATGTGATTAGTTTCTTTATAGTGGCCAAGGTAGCCTAGGGGAAGGTATGTGTCAATTTGTTGCTTTATGGTGAGATAGGATTATATTCATGTATGTTTGCCTGTAGCCTGTCATCAGTCACTTATGAAGCAACTACGCCGCATGTTTCCTCCATAAACTTGGAATGTATCCTAGTTTTCTTCTTCGACCGACTATTCTTCTTGCGACCTGTGAGAATGACGTCAAAGATAACTTCACTACTCGGATAATCTTTAGTTCATGTTAGCTGGGATTTCTTTTATCTACATGTTATCTGCTGCAGTTTCTTCTTTTGATAAATGGAAGCAAGGTGCATCTGCTGCTTCTCCCAATGAGTTGACATATGATAAGCAATAGGCTACAAAATGTAAACCAAATGGTAAAGAATGCGCTCGCCTGGTGCAGTTTGATTTTGCTTAATGATAAGTGTGGCCGTGTGTAGCCATCGTCAGTTTGCCATAAGGAAGGTCATCATTCATTTTTCATTTTAACAGCACATACACAAAGACAGCAAACTTTAAGCTAGCCATAAGCTATTCGTTTCAAAACCCAAAATTGAGCGCAATATATGACCAATGGATCCTTTAAGCTATACATCAATCATACCCTCCAAGTGAAGGCAGCTGCCACTTATTCAGTTGTCTATAATCTGGAGAAAAGAGAACTCGCAACATCGGGAAAATTGAAACGAGTGCAATCTTATTATTCTGCTACTTCCTTCCGAGGTCCAGATGGTAAGTACAACAATCCTCTCTCTAATTACGGTACTCATCCATGAAGCTCTTGTGGAAGGCTGTCAAGCGCGAGACAATGGCCGGAATCTTGTCCTCCTGTGGCAAAATGGTACATCTGAAGTGCCACGTCCCAGGAACCTGCAAACCAAAGAACAGACTCACTGATATGTGTAAGTGTAACTGTTATTTGCCAAAATTTCATGATTGCAAAAGGATGCTATCATGGCTAATGACTTTTTGCCCGTCAAAGCATCCTGGCCATAATCACTTCCAGCAACTAGAAAACTGATTCATCACCGCAACAGAGAGAAGTGATCAATATATCAATATCAATATATACCCTCAAATGTTTTCCAGTGATCAAGCATATTGACTAAGAAATCCAACAATGTTCCATCTTCCAAGTCCAACAATGAAATCTCTAGTTAAGAGGTTACTGCATAAGCAAATCTCAGACAAGGTAGTTGATTTCACGATTACATGAGATTCTTGGCATACATTAGGGCATTAAAAAGTCAGCATACTGCTATTGTTGTATATATAGTACTAGAGTAGTACCAAGGAGCCTTGTCTTTCTACTCAAGGCAATTGGACTAGGGTAGTATGGTTGGCAACTTATTGGCAGAAGTAGATATAGTACTACCATGACGTTACCCACTCCTACACCTTATTTTGGAGCCATGGCATCATTTTAAAACAAGGAGAAGTTCTTACCTGACCAAAGCCAGAACCAGGGACCACAACCACTCCAGTAGCATTGAGGAGACGACGACAATAAAATAGATCAGGGGCAGTCTTCGCAGCTTCTGCAGTTTTGATTGCCTTTTCAGGCAACTTGATGCGGGGGAAAAGATACATTGCTCCCTCTGCTTTGTTGCATGTTATTCCCTCTAAACTCTTGAATGCATCTTCCAGTGTCTGCCAATAGTTGAAGGAAACAATAATATATAAATTAAGATAACAACAACCCAGGTATGAAACTTAATATGGTTACGATAACTTTTGATTGCTTGATCATTAGCAAACACCGGCCAATGCAAAGAAACACAATGAGAAGCAAGGAATACACTAACCAACTAGTTTCGGCTCATACTCTATCTCAAGTGCTTGTAAAGATTGACTAAACTACATATAAAAGGTATTTGAGCTACTAACCTTGGCACGCCTAGCCAGAGATTTAAGAATTCCGTCTTTCTCGGCAGAATATGATTCATAAGATTCATCTCCAACCTGAAAGCATCCCCGTTGCATTATAAGTTTAATAAAGCAAAGAAGCTAGTCTTCTTAACGTGGGCAATAGATTAATGATCCGATAAAAGAGCCAATTGTGTCTACATTTTGGACCTTAAGTAAGAAATCATTCACAAAGAGAGAGAGGGAAAGGGATAAATGCCTTGGGCGGGCTCATAACAAGACTTGCAAGGATTTGGCCTGAAATATTAGAGCAGAGATTCACAGACGCCAATTTGTATATCTGCTCTCTGACTTCCGGACTAAAACCCGTGACCTCCATGTAGCCTCCTCTCTTTCCACACTCTCCATGGTACCCTGAAAATGTTTAAAAAGTACACATATGTGATTCCTGACCGGACTCAGGAATTGTGCAATATCTGCAATCAAGGTAATATAAACATCAAGCAGTTTACCTTTAGAGACAGACTGGAAAGATACTAGACACAAATCATTATCACCATAGCCCATAGATCGGGCAACCTTCTTAAATGAGTGAAATTTCTTCTCAGGAACATAGACATTTTCCTGATAAACCTGTACAAAACAGTTCGTCCAATATAAGAAGATGAACCACCTCAAGAACGTAACCCCAGTCATAAAACTAGTCGTTACTAACCTCATCTGCTAAAAGAACAAGACCCTCTTGCTTGCAGAACTCCACAATAGCCCGCTGGTTTTCCTCCGCGAGAACCTGCAAGCATAAGGAGCAAGTCGACGCTTATCAAAATTCCTCCCAAGCGTTACCAACATGTTGGCATATCAAGAAAGTACTTTGAGGTTAAGATAACTCTCTTCAGAATTATAAATGTAGACAAACCCTCACCTGTCCAGTTGGGTTGCCTGGATTTATAACAACCAGAGCCTTAACAGTGATACCCTTTGACCTAGCTTCCTTTAATTGCTTCTTCAGTTCAGAAACTTCCAAGCCCCAGCCAGTTTCTTCGTCAAGATAGTAAGGGACCTGCAATTAACCACGCTACAAATGAATATCAAAGTAAAAATAAAACACAAATTATCTAAAGACATGCCGCTAGAATGAATGGCATATGAGAGAGGTTCCTTACCAGACTACCACCATGGAGAGCAATGGAAGCAGAGTACAAAGGATACTGAGGAATGGGACATAGAAGTCCATCTTTTTCGGAGCCTATCAATAATTGCATCATCATGTGCACCTAACGGAAAGGGGAAACATTATCAGTTGCAGCATGCTGGAAACAAGATATAAAGTCGAGGTTCATATAATATGTAGACTAAGCTGCTTCCAATGTTTGGTATCAAAACAATATCTCAAGAGAAAAAGTATGTTGAATCATTCTTACAGCTGGACTAGCACCATCTGTGAGAAACAGATCATTTGGATTAGCAGGAAATCCATCACGAGCTTCAATACCAGCAGCAATCGTATCACGTAATCCTTTGATTCCCTGTCAAAAGCTGTATTCATCACACCGTTCTAACAAAAGCCCCAGTAGCAATAATACCGTAGTCAGAGTTTCCAAAGATCAATGCCATGAACTCATGATTATAACCTGACTATGACTATATGCTCCAGTTGCTCTCCCAGGAATTTGGTCAAGAATCTGCCATGCTCGCTTTATGGAATCAGCACTGGCATAAGACAAGCAAGAATCAGACAAGGCATTAGAAATGGTAAACCTATCATCAGAAGGAAAAAATATATATATATATATATATATATATATATATATATATATAATGCAAACGTGGTTTGAGACTGCTTCACAAAGCTAAGCGCTATCAGCTAGCACTGTCCAGCACATAACTATCTCTAATGAATTCTGGCTTCAAGCTGGAATACTAGAGGAAAGAAGGAACACAACAAAAAGTAGGAACTGAGAAGTGACACCTGAACAGGCCCTGTGCTTCAGCTTTGTCCAAAATCGCAGGATGATCACAGAGCGCAAGAACCTAACGTCGGGGAAAAAAGAGATGTAAGCAGTGGCCTTGGCAGGAGTGATAAACCTTCACGCAGTAAATGGGAAAAGCCAAACAAACCTCTCGGAAGAAGGTTATAGGGAGCTGACCAAGAGACTGAGGGTTTCCAATGTTGCAATAGAGAATCTGCGTACAAGGGCATTGCAATTTCAGCTTCAATTCAAATTGCGCTTAAGATAAAAGAAAAAAAAGTCTCCTCTTGTTCAGCTTTGGTAATACTACTATCATTCCAAAGGAGGGTCGACTGGAAACTGGAAAGAAAGAAGCTTTCCCAAAGCAAAACAAACAGCATTTTGTAAAGCAATAAATTCAGCATTTACTACCATAGAAGAACCCAACTAATGTTCATGATTAAAGGGCAAACTGCTGTTCCTGTAAACAGGGGCAAAATAAGCTTATAATAAGAGGGCGCATAGAGGAGGAGAAGAACCTCATCAAAAGGAAGGGAACCAGGTTTAGCCTTCAACTCTTCTTGCAGGCGCTGCAGAATGAAAACGTTGAGCACGAGATGGAAGGCAATTAACAAACAGGAGGGAAGAAGCAGCGAGGTGAGAGTAGGAGAAAACTAGAAATGAAAGCCGCGGTGGGACAGCAGGATCAAACAAAACAATCGATTTAGTATTTACCTGAGCGAGGATGACAATCTCTCCACGAACCGCGTATTCGCATTTCAAAACCTGGGAAAACGCAATTAAAAATACCCATCAATCAAATTTCAAAACTTTGCAGTTGAATGATGGTGATACAAAAATGGGATCTCAGCATCTATTCATAAAACAAAAATTAGGTGCCGCGGAACAAATTCAAAGAACGAGCGACAGATGGGCGTGATCATAATGCAAAAAGATGAGAGATGGGTACCTTGGGGTTGATGGATTGGACGGAAACGGGGTTCGGCATGTTGGGAGGAGAGGGGGAAGAAGCGGAGGAGGAGGATGAGAGTCGCCGGAGAAGGAGGAGGAAGAAGAATCAAGACGGTGGTGCAGAGGAGGAAGGAGAGAGCGATGATGAGCGTGATTGAGAAGGAAGAGACAAGCAGTAGTAGTACGTTTGGCACCTCCAATTACTGATCTCCGCATATTTGTGATGGAAGCTTTCTTTAAATATGCGGGCGTGATTGAAAATTCAACTCTCCAGCAGTCCCCACGCAGAGAGAGAGAGAGAGAGAGAGAGAGAGAGAGTAGCGGTGTCGCTGTACGAATGGTTGCTGCAGCTTTTACCTGCCCTGGTAGAAGCGAGAGAGGGAAATGGAATGTGGAAGGGAAGTCGTCCAGTCTGTTCCGTGGCCCGCACGAATTTTCAGGCGGAATACGGGAAAGTACGGACGATCGCCACTTTTCTTCCTTTTTCTATTAAATATAAATTTAAAAAGAATTGTGTAATCATAAATTATCATAAAAATATTAAATATTTTTTTTTTACCAATAGATCACTTAAAAATATTAAATATAATAAGTATTACTATAGTGAGAAAATAACTATTAGTATTATTATAATTAAGTATTATCTCTTACCCAAAAAAAAAAAGTTAAAGTATTATTAAGTCGTGCTAGAACCCAAGTCCGACCGAGCACGGTGCTAAACGTGATTAACCGCGGCTAATCTCTTTTATCCGTTTCCCATTTTGCATGCATCATTCAGGGATTATTAACTTTATTCTTTTGAGTATTTGGTAAATAAAAGTTACCTTTTGATTGCAAAAAGGAGTTGGGCAGCGGCGGATTCATAAATTTTTTGTAGTGCGTCCTCTACTCCTCTTCCAAAAATTAAATTAAATTAATAATTAAATAATTCATAAATTAGAAAATATCCAATTAGTATAAATTTTAACAAAAAACCACGATGTGTTTTCATATTGTGAAAAAATATAAAATAGATTCGGTGTCTACACTGCTCAACAAATCTGTATATTCTACTAGACAATAATTCACAAACTGATCGCATATTCAATTTCTAACATTGTTTATGAGATAACTCAAAAATCAAAGTTGAAAGTTGATTTTTCCGGTTTCTTCCTCTCCTAGTGGATCGCATATTCTACTTCATCCACTTCGTGTAAGTTGTAACCATAAAATCAATTCAAATAAGGGGTATCCTGGAGATAAGGAATCATGTTATTACTATTACATAATGTTTAAAATAGAACAACACATGAATTATAACATAATGGAGAATATGTTTAATAATAGTAGTGTCCTAGGTTTGAATAATATAGACTACCACTTATATTTTTTAATCATACGCAAACTACTATCAAGTAGGGGTGAACAAACACACCCGCAAACCGACTCACCCGTCCAACCCGACCCAACCCACCCGTATTTATCGCTAAATCGAAGATTTTGGGTTGGGTGAGGGTTTTCTTTTGTACAACCCGCCTCTTTTGGGTTGGGTTTGGATTTTGGATTACACAACCCGTAGAACCCGACCCAACCCGTGTTCCAATTATTGGTATGAGTTCGTATTCAAAAAAATATTTATGCCGTATATAGTCATACTTATGAGAAAATTAAGATATTTCGCCATGTTTTTCTCTTTAAGTCTCACTAATCTAATGCATTCTTCGACTTAAAGTTTAGACATATATTTAATATAGCTATGATTCACGTAATTTTTTTTTTCTTTTGTACAATTTTAAAAGAATATCATATTATGAATGCGTTCATTTGTAACCTTTTTAGCCTATTTCAACAAATGTCGTGAAAAAAACTAGACATAAGTTGAAGTAAATCAAGTTTTATTAAACTTCAAACAATATTTGTGAATTTTGATACCTTTCACCTCGGTTTATTCGTTTGAAATTTTTAATTTGTTATAAAATATTTTTATGATGTAGAATAATTACATATTTTGTGTTGGGTTGGGTTTATACTTAAAAATATCGCCAACCCGACCCAACCCAATTAGAAACAAACCGTAGGGTTTATATTTTTTTGGGTGGGTTTGGGTTTCATATTTCCCAAACCGTAGTGCATGGATCGGGTGATTAAAATGTCTAAACCCGAACCACCCGACCCATGTACACCCCCTACTATAAGGGTAAGATAATCATTTTTTAATCTCTTCGTACCCTCAGTAGCTATTGGGCGGACACCTCTCTACCTTTCCTTCCTCTGCCTTCTCTCTAACGAGAAGAGTTTTCAAATTTCAAATTAACCATGGGGCTGCCGTCGACTTCCCAAATTGGGACCGGCAGTGGCCCTCAAATTTCAATCTCTTTCTTTTTGTTGCTGGTTCTTCCCTTCTCCTTGGTTTTTTCTTTTTCGTCTTTCCCTCCTTGGTTGAGTTGTCTGTTGCATGTGTTGTTTTTCTTCTGCTTTCCTCCCAATAGGGATTGAATCTTTCTTCCTTTCCTAGTGGAGGTGTCTTTTGCTTCCCACCAAGCTGGGTTCCCAAATCTATGTGGATGACTCCTAGTGGATGTTAGAGGGAGCCGATTTTTCCGGTTTGCTTGCTCCTCTCCGTTCTTCTATCTACCTCCACATGTTTCATCTAAAACTGAGGATGATTCGGAGATGTCAGGCCTCTACTATCTTGGATAAAGCATCAGAGAGTTTGTGAGCAGGGAAGTCATTCTTGTGGTTGTGCTTTGGCCGGTTGCTCAGATCGGTGGTGGTTCCAACGATTGGGATTTCGCCACTCTTCTGTCCGAGTTTCTGTAGCTGCTTCTCCACTTTCTTTTTGCAGGTGGACCTTGGAGCTACTTGGCATTTGGTTCTCCCCGTCTTGTCCTTTTGCCTTCGTTTTCTGGCCAGATGACACTCCTTCCTTGATGACGACGGCGACGCTCCATTTTCTTCCGTTCACCATCGAAGGATTTGTTTCTGTTGGCAGGGAGAGGATGTGCATTGAGGAGATGTGGTGGGGAAGCTAGCGGCGGCCTGCCCTGGGTGATTGGGCTTCTTTGGGCTAGGGTTACTAAGGTTTGGGCTTGGTAATCCAAATGTTTGGACCTGGTTTCCTTGTTTTTTTGGACTGCCTTAAGACTAGCCTTAGTTTTCTCTTGTTTTTAGTAGCCTTTTTTCTTTTCATTGAGTTTAACTCAACGCTGTACACTGTTTCGTTATCAATGAAACTACCACTTTCACTGTAAAAAAAAGGTAAGATAATCATTTTTTTAATTTTTAGGGGTGTCCCGGATTACTGATTATATTTTGTTTATACATACGAAACTACTACTGAGGGTTAGATAATCGTTTTTTCAAATTTTATGGGTGTCCAAAGCACCATGTATCCGCCAATGGAGCCGGGTGGATTCAAACATACCGCATTTGTTTTTACTTTTCTCCACAACCACGCTATTCTAATTCTCCGCATAGAAAATGATGTTTGGTGGTCCACGCCAGAAACCTACGGCAGCCAGCCCAATTGGCCCAGCAGGCCTCCAGTGCAGGACTGCATGATCACGATGGTGGAGAAGCCCTTCCGAGGGCGGCCCAAGTATAGATCCGGGCCGTGAGAATTGAGATTGCTGCTGAGTGGCGACAAGTCGCATTTTCTGAATAGAGATGAGATCCCCGCTTTCTGGGTTAGGAACTTAGGATGCTTCATGCTTGTGTTGTCGTGTTGTCAGTGGGGCGAGTTTGCAAAACCAACCCTATTTCCATTTTCAAATATTCAAACGCATACCCGCGGTTTTTGGATACACATGGATAATACCGCCCCATCAACTACTCACCGTTAATAAAAAGAAAAAATGGTAACAGATATGGATACTACCCATTTAAAATTATGGAACTAATACATAAGAGGATGAAATTATGATTTGGTTACCATCAATTACATTTTAACACTCTATTTTTTCTTTTAATTACCCTTCATTCCATTGACAACTTACAATAGACTTCTTATATTTTATGTATATAACATAATATCCTTGGTGGGGCTGGTTTGGGTATGAGGCGAGAGAGTCAAAAACCATATCCGCCCCATACCCATCAACCTTTTTGGGATTTTTATCCGTACTCGCCCCATACCCAGTCAAAACGGGTATTCCCCGCATTGACTAGATCGGAGGCGGTCAGGTACAAGCGATCATGGGTTTGGTTGTCATCCCTACCACAACCCAACAATGAAAAAAATGAACATAACCCCATCATTTGAAACTCACCGTTTCCACCCCTTGACACTTCCTTTAGTGAAAATAAAAAATGAATAAAAAATCCACCCTTACCCGGTTTTAGTTTCTAATTACAAAGAGCCACTACCACATCTCCCATTTTCTTTTATCCTTTAGTTTTACTTGCTTTTGAAGTTGGTGTTGACTTTACCTGTTGCGATTGAAAGTTGCGAAAAATTTAAGCTATGAAGATAATCAAGAATGAACTTCGAAATCGGTTGAGTGACCAATTTATGAATCATTGTTTAGTTGTGTATATCGAAAAAAGGATTTGTTTCACGACATAAGCGATGAATGTATTTTCCAGACATTTCAGAACATGAAAAGTCGTTGTGGTTCGTTGTAAACATGACATTGTGAGCTTTAATGAATTAATATATAATAATTTCTATTTAATTTATATTAATATTTTATTAATTATTTTAATTATTTTCTTATTATCGGCGACACACCTCTCGAACAATTCTGGATCCGCCACTGCATGTTGTGATGGTGTTGAACTGGTTGGGAAGTGGCTGGAACTTCCAGTCTTGGAACATCACTGGTGTGTTCCCGAAGATGAAGTCGATCGTGTCCGTGATGTCGCAATCCCGGTAGAACTAGCGGTTGGACTGCAGGTAGAGAGTGTCTTGGTACGCGACAAAAGAGCATCGGTAGTAGAGATGGCAATAGGGCAGGTTTGGGGAGTTTGTCTAAACCATCCCCATTCCCATCTCACAATCCTCAAACTCATCTCCGGCCCATACCCATGTGGGGTAGTTTTGCAAACCCATTCTCATACTCATTGGTTTTGGATACCCATGGGTAATACCCGTCCCCGTGTAAGCATTATTATTACACCTAATATCCAACATACATTCTTCAATTATAATACTAAAATGACCAAATAAATGATGAAATTAACAAAGTTCCAAGCATTCTTAATATAGAGGAAAAAAATATTCAATCCTATTTTAATTGTTTATAAAAAATCAAAATCTATTCGACTACTTCAAGCATAAAGAGTCTCAACTGACGTGACCTCTCCCAAAAGCATTACGTAGTACATATTATACCTTCTTCATTAGCTGAGGCTTGAGGGAGTGTGAAGTTAGAAATTAGAGTTTTGTTGTGCATAACTACATTTTAGCCATCATTGTTTTTTAATTTCCCCTTCCTATCATTTACAATTTACAAATAAGTCATTATATTTTTTTGCAGATAACAAAAAAGATTGACGGGGCGGGTTTGGGTATTGGTACAACGCAGGGGCCAGGGGACCGCTTGGGTATCGGCACAATCACATAAATTAATTACCAAAGTATACGTACAACAAAAATACATGCATGCGCGAGCGCGAATCAAGCAAAACCACAACACTCAAATATCATGCCACCCTCAATTAATCATCATGTCGTCGCTATAATTTAAAATGTGTATACAGATCATATCTATAATTCATAGCCCGAGAGAGAAGGGGAAGGTGGTAGATCGCAGCCAGGACCCACCGCCGATGAACTCACCGGCGGTAAACCCGGCCGCCTCACTCTCATCGTCCATCACCTTATACCCTCCCCACCCGACCCTCTCCGTCGTGTTCGCCCCGGCCCCGCGGTTCCTAAACTCCCCGTAGTACAGCGTCGCCAGCCCAAAGCTGGCGTTCCACTCCGCCCACCCGGCCGAGTGCACCACGCCGCTGATCTCCGACTCCATCACCACCGTCCTCGAGTACTCCTTCCACGGCCTCCCCAAATACGTCGGGTAGCTCCCGTTCCCCGCCGCCGACTGCAGGAGGAGGTCCGCCGTGGCCCCGATCCTCGACCTCTGGATCACGATCCCGGTGTTCTGGTTCGGATCCTTCCTCCCCTGGGCGGTGATCATGTTCTTCTGTCCCGGACCGGGGACGCGGGCGTGGATGTCGCAGTCCTGGAGGACGGCGGCGGCGTTGCCGAAGATGAAGTCGACGGTTCCCGTGACGAGGCAGTTGACGAAGAACTGGCGGTTGGAGTGGACGTACAGGGTGTCCTGGTGGCCCAGGATGTCGCACCGGTAGAATGCCGACTGATCAGCGCCGACTCGGAGGGCCACGGCCTGGTGCTTGGCGTGGCCCGCCGTGTTCTCGAAGGTTATGTCCCGCGCCAGGAACCCTTTCCCCTTCACCGCTGCAATGTAATAATATGTGATTAACCGTGATTGAAGGGAATGAATTATTAACGCTAAGGGAGACAGCTAGCTAGATAGCATGTTAATGTATCGACTAATGATGGTTAGCAACATAATCATTCCTGTTTAGCACTCGATGAAAATCAACAACTCCTCCAGCACGGGGTCAAGTTTGAAATCATGGTCAAAATCTATGCGGCAAAGAGAAATGTAGACAAATTTGGAAAAACGACAAACGAAGAGATGCGCAATTCACTGTCGTCTTGCATCCTAAATTGGTAGCTAGCTAGCTAGCTAGATCTCAAAAACCAGACACATGTGAATATGATTTTTACACCGCATCACATCGCTGCCACTGGACAGGAAAATGGACCATTCAAATTCAATTAGCAGAGCTAGGCCGGCCACCGCGGGAGTTGCAGATTCCCGTGACTCGATCCAATTCGGGCAGTGTGTTCTAAGACTAACTACAACCCAAAAAGGTTATATTTAGTCTCTCAATCTTTCAAATGTACATTTTTACCTTCAAAACACACATTTTTGCTCCAACCCTAAACCTTCTAAATTTGCCTTCCCAACTCATAACCAACCAATCAAAATTTAAGAAAGTAAAAATAAAAATAAAAATAAAAACAAAGATGTTGGAAAGTGGAGGGCCCCAGCGTGTGGGCTTGGGTTCCATGGTTGGTCCCCCACCTTCTCCTTGCATTTTTCCATATGAGCTTCTATCTATCCACCCCCAAGCCCACTTCTCCAAATTTGCAAGCCAAATAATTGGTGGGTTGGAGATGAAAAAAGCCAAAAACATCCCTTTCTCCAAATTTGCATGCTTGGGTTGGAGATAGTCTAATGAGTACAAATTTTACCATTTTGATTTCATCAATTATTTTTACTTTCATTCTAAAGAACCGTGCACTTTCCCATTTCATTTCAAACCGATGAAAATACTATTTTTTTCTTGGAATTGACGAAAACTAGGACAGGACAGCTACGGCCAGGATTCATTTAGATTTTAAATCAGAGTAACAGTCTGAACATGCAGTAGCATGTCCGCCAAATCTTCTAAAGAATATATTAAAGGTTTCCCATTAAGGACTTCACAAATTCAAATTCCCCGTTCCCTCATTCATCCACGTCATCATAATCTATCAACCAATCAAATTCCTTTTAACAAAAAATCCCAACCAAAAAAATAGGGAGTTGCTAAAGGTCGCCCTTAGAATTGCTAAAGGTCGCCCTAAAAAAGTTTAAAGTTACACTTATAACCCCCTATCTTCTTTACCTTCCTTTTATCAAACAAACACCACTTGACCTAAAAAAACACTATCTAAGGAGAGAAAAATCCACCATCGTCATTTTGAAGCCGATATCGTCGGTAGGACGTCTGAATCATGAGTAGCGACTCCGACGAGGTAAATACCGAAACTGAAAAACGAAAAAAAAAAACCAAAAAATGCCCAACCGCAATTGACCTGCGGTTGAACCATGGCCGGACCGCAAATCCCCTGCGGTTGGACCATGGCCGGACCGCAAATCCCCTGCGGTTGATCCATGGCTGGACCGCAATTGACCTGTGGTTGGACCATGGCTGGACCGCAAATCACCTGCGGTCCAGCCATGGTCCAACCACAGGTCAATTGCGGTCCAGCCATGGTCCAACCGCAGGTGATTTGCGGTACGGCCATGGTCCAACCGCAGGTCACTTGCGGTTGGGCATTTTCTGGTTTTTTTATTTTTTTCGTTGAATAATTTTCTATTTTTTATATGATTTATGATTTGTTCCATGAGATAATTTGTTGGGTTTTGATTTATATAATTTTCTAGATTTATTTGCATAATTATTTTTGGAATTGAAGGATTTAGCATTAGAAATTAAGATTAGATTTGGCCTTAAATTAAGATTAGATTTAATTTGGTCTTAATCTAGAAAATTAAGATTAGATTTTGCATTACAAATTAAGATTAAATTTATTGCATAAATAATAGATTCGCATTAGAAATTAAGATTAGATTTGGCCTTAAATTAATATTAGATTTAATTTGGTCTTAATCTAGAAAATTAAGATTAGATTTTGCATTACAAATTAAGATTAAATTTATTGCATAAAGAATATATTCGCATATGAAGATTAGATTTAATTTGGTCTTAATCTAGAAGATTAAGATTAGATTTTGCATTACAAATTAAGATTAAATTTATTGCATAAATAATATATTCGCATATGAAGTTATGATGATTATTAAATTTAATATAGTTATGAAATTTTAAATTCTGATAACATTGCAGGATATTGGAAGTTACAATCCTGATGGTCATGATTACACCTCGGATTTCATTGATGGCGTGAAATACACTACGGAGTTGCAAGCATATGAAGCAGCTACTGAGATTGCCAAGGGTTTTGGGTTTTATTTGGTGAGGACATCGAACAAAAAAAATAAGAATGAAGGTACTTGGCGACATTACTTACATTGCACTCATGGTAGGAAGAAGAAGTCGACGGAACCTGATCCGAGTAAGGAAAGGAGGCCTCTTACATCTACTGAAAAGTTGGGGTGCGAGTTTCAGATCAAGCTTGAGCGGTCAGGTGATGGATATTGGTTGATCCTAGGGGTGGCAAATACAAAGAATCCTGGTGCTAATTTGGGTTTCCACAATCATCAGTTGGAGCTATTTCCGGAAAGATCAAAGGGAAGGAATGTTCTGACTACAGAGGATAAGCAATACATCAGAGAGCTGAGATCAGCCGGTGTCCCACCAAGGAATATCCACAAGGCAGTGAATGAGAGAAAAGGTGCAAATGGAACACACAACAGAAAACAGATTTATAACGAGTTGCAAAAGATAAGGAAAGAAGAGCTTGGTCAGATGACAGCCTTACAGTATACTTTCCGCGTGGCGCAGGAGAAGGGTTACTATGTGCAGTATATGGACGATCGTAACGTGCTTACACACTTGTTCCTAGCCCACCCTGAGTCAGTAGTGATGTTGCGAGCTTGGCACCATGTGATCGTGATAGATGCAACATACAAGACCAATAAGTATGATATGCCTTGGGTTGAGATTGTCGGCATGACACCAGTGGGATTGAACTTTGTCATTGCATCTGCAATAGTGTACGACGAGACGAAGGAGTCGTACCAGTGGCTTCTGACGCATTTGCAACATCTTCTTGGCCCCATTGTTCCAGATGTGTTTGTCAGTGACAAGGCAGGAGGATTGGTTGAGACCGTGGGGGTAATGTTTCCATCATCGACTCATATATTATATCTTTGGCATATGGATAGGAATGTGAGAGCAAAGTGTCTAGCGGAGGTGAGAAGGACGACTCATTGTGGTATAGATGCAGCCAAACCGACAGTGGATCATATCATGGCGTCTTGGCAACGTGCTGTATATGCATTGACAGTGGAAGACATGGATACTGCCTTAGACAATTTCAGACGTGGTTGGGGAGTACAGTACCGACGTCTTTGGGGGTATATGACAGCTGAGTGGTTACCAGTTAGACACATGTGGGCTAAATGTTATACCAATCAACTGCGGCATTTGGGTAACACAAGCTCTAATAGGGTTGAAGCTGCCCATTCCTCCTTCAAGAAGTGGCTTCAATCATCTACTGGCGCAGTCGACACGGTTAGTCTCCTAGTAAATCTTCATTGTACACACATAAGTTTTAGTAGTCTCCTAATTGTTCTTCATTGTATGTAGGTATTCAAGAAGAACGATGATTACATTGAGGCTCAACACCTTCAAATCAGGAAGCTTCTAGAGGATTCCCGACAAAAGAAGCTGCTACGAGCGGATGGAAAACCATTTCGAGAGTTGAATACAAAAGTCACTCTAGAAGCTCTGAAGTTGATGTTGTTCGAGGTAGCAGAATTTAAAAAAAAAAAAGGCCCGACCGCAGTCAAACCGCTGGTCAAACCGCGCTTTGACCGCGGTCAGCCGTCGGTTCAACCGCGCGTTGACCGCAGTTGACCGTCGGTCAGACCGCGGTTTGACTGCGGTCGGTATTTTTTTTATTTTTACCTTCTTCTTCTCCGACGAGCGAGCTTGCTCCGGCGGCGGCGAGCGCGACGAGAGGAGGACGGCGGCCAGAACGAGACGAGGGGCAGAGCCCCGGCGGCGGGAACGCGACGAGGGGCAGAGCCCGGCAGCAGGAACGCGATGAGAGGAGGACGGAGGCTTGCGCGGGCGGGCGTCTCCGGCGAGCTTGCGCGGGCGGGCGAGGGACGGCGGCTTGCGCGGGCGGGCGAGGGACGGCGGTCCGGCGGCGGCGAGCTTGCGCGAGGGACGGCGGCTCCTTCTTCTTTGGCTGCAGAGGGAGAGGTTGAAGGTTGAAGGAAGTGTGCTGGAAGGAGGGTGGAGGGGGTAAAGGGTCTGTTTTTTTTTTTTTTACAAAACGTAAAGGGCCTGTTTGGTTGTGTATTTTTTAAATTTTCATTAAGGGCATATAGGTAAATTGATTTGTAAGTTAGGGCGACGTTTAGCAATTTTTAGAGCGACATTTAGCGATTCAGAAAAAATATATCCCTCCGTGAACTCTTCCCCGAATTTTCCGGTTCCTGTTTTCATTTTTTACAATTTTACTGAACCGTCAATTTTCTTTCACTTTTTTTCCTTTGCATGTTTTCTTTTTCTTAAATGCATTTGTTTGTCTTTTAGATATCACAGTTATGTTTGTTACCACTTACCATCTAAAAAAAGTGTTGTTGTATATATTTCAGATTTCAATCATACATAATTGACACAGTGTTCATTATAACAAAGGAAATTTAAAATGCGAACAAAAATTTAAAAATAAATTTAGTTATATTTCTTATGCACTAGCAATTTGTAGTATATATTGCATAATATTAATAATTTTGAGTATTTTGGAGGAGACTCAGTTCAAATATTGTAGACATTAGTTGCATGTAGTCTAAATATCGGAAGTAACGGAATGATATATACTATTTAGATATTTATTTTGAATGATTTTTAGACAAATTTTCATATAGGTTATGCACCGAGACTTCATAAAACCCCATTTGAAAATAATTTTTTTAGTAAAATTTTTATCCCCACATGATTCAAAATTGGATGAATGAAACGTAATGAGTATAGTGACAAACTTTGAAATTTTGTAAGATTATGCTATACATTTAGCCAAGGCCCAAGAGTTAATATCTCTCAATTCCGAATTGAATGTTTTCACTTGAAAATTATCTTATATCGCTCCAATTTCCTAGGTGTCTCTGTAGGAACAGAATTAACTTTGCATGTACGAGTCAACCTCTCAAATCATACATTTGGGTCTTAAATAAATAAAAAATATTCTTTAAAATGTATAAAAATAATTAAGTATGACAACAAGTTATTTAATACAAGGGTTATATATTCATAAGATTAATGAGAATGAACAAAATTTCTTTTCTTTTAAATTAATCAAATATTCAAATGAAATTCACCCGACCAATGTTCGGGACCAAAACTAGTTAATTTAATTAACCACTTCCAAACCATGCAGCATCCGTAGTCAACGACACGCGGAATATGCTTAATTATCTAGGTAATTACACATTATTAACTATTAAGGATAAGCGCTCTATATATATTTTTTTATATATTAATTTGACTTGTAAAGGTCAGATTTTTATTCTTATATCTTACTGTCCGTTTCGGAATAGATTTTTTCACAGTATGCGACCACATAGATAATAGTCCCGCCCGCTTTTCTTGCGTGATTTCCGGCTATGAGTGACCGGTTGACTAACCAACATCAAAGCAACTTTAATAATCATGAAACTTTTATCACGGTGGCCGGCCGGCCACCTGGGAAGAGAGAAGAACTTAATTAATGGTGTACGTACGTACCGACGGTGGCAGATTTGAAAGTGGTGAACCCACCAACGACGCTCCTGTTGCCGGTGATAATGGTGGTGGCTCTGCCATCCCCGACGAACATAATGTTGGTCTTCGACTTCACCACCTCCACGTTCTCCCTGTACACTCCCGCCTTTATCCTTATCACATACCTCTCGCTGCTCTTGTTCGGCGCCGCCTCCACCGCCTCCCCCACCGTCACGTAGTCCCCGCTCCTGTCCCCCGCCACCGTCACATTCGCCGCCGTCTTCGCCTGAAGCCATCCAACAACAACAAACCATATAATAAATAGATGTGCAAATGTGCAATATATATGCTCCTACGCTAAACTAAAAAAAATAAAAAAATTAATACTTTATTTGTACGCACTGGCGGAGCCACCTTAAATTCAGAGGAGACCATAGCCCTTCTCATTTCTCAACTCGCAAAATTACTAAATTTTGTAAAAAGAAAATATATATATATAAAAATATTAGTTAATAAGGTTTTTTATTAGTTCGAATTCTCTGAGTGTAGATTTTTAGCGGCCGTAGTTTAGATCCCTACATCAGGCGACTGCAGCAGCCTCCTATCTCCAGCCGACAACCACTCCGGCTGCTGCTGCTCCTCCTCCTCGACTCCGGCCGCCTCGATGTCGGCGTCGGTCATGTTCCTGATCATGGCGAGGACGTTGCTGCACATGCGCTCCACGTGGACCTGCCCCTCCAGCAGCTTCTCCCGGACCCGCCGGTCGGCGCCGTCGTGGGAGAAGCCGTCGAGGCAGGTCTCCTGGTTGGTCATGGCGGAGCTCAGCAGCGTCTTGAGGTCGGCGGCGTGCCGGTTCAGCGACTTCCTCTTCTTCTTCTCGTGCGGGTACCGGCCCAGGTCACGGAGCGCCACGTGGAGCTCGTCGAGGGTGGCGTCGATGGTCTCGAGGCAGTCGTGGAGCGCCGTCGTCTCACGCCGGCTCAGCCTGCCGCCGGCGGACTCGATCAGGCTCTCGACGGCGAAGAAGTTGCGCTGGACGGCGCGGCAGGTGATGTTGATGGACGCCTCGATCACGTCCTTCTGGGTGGCGAGGGTGTTGGCGGATCCCGGGACGGCGGCCACGGCGGAGAAGCAGAGGTCCGGGAACCTTGTGCTGCTGCAGGCGGAGTGGAGGACGGCGTGGTGAGCGTGGATTTGGGGTGTTGGTGATGGGAGATGGTACTGGTTGTATTCGGTACTGGAGTTTGGAGGGACGGCGGCGGCGTTATCTACGCCGGCGGCAACTGTGCCGATTAGGACCATTACGATTGGGACTATGGAGTGAATCATTTTTTTCCCCCAACAATTAATGGATGTTGGCAATTACTCCACCGTATCATGGCAGGGAAAAGAGACGCGCATATAAATAGACAAGAGAGGATAATTAAACAATATTGTCATTTGTTTCATTTGCAATTTTGCATGCTCTTTTTCCCACCGAAAGCGAAAAAAGGAATGTTGTCAGAACCGAACCGGAGTATGACTATGATCTGGTAATGTGAATGATTCGCACTTTAGTGGTTTAATTGAAATTAGACCGTTTAAAAATCGTTAGAGAACCGGTATCTGATAAATGTTATCAGTATAAAGAGTGGACATTTCTTAATCAGAGCTCAATCTCTTTTCTTCGAAATTGTGAAATGGAAATAAGAATTCAGTTTGAGAACCCGACGTTTTTGGTTTATTTCAATTTTTAATTTTCTGCAATTTTTAATTAAATTTAACGCTTGAATGGCAAAAATTGGACGAGCGGCTCGAGCGGTTAATCGCCTAGACCGCTCGCCAACTGCTACATAAAACTGGAATGGCTTTTAAATTGTTCCGAGCTGATTTTTTGACCGGATGACGGTTTTACCGGTCGGGCCTAGCGACTCGGCTAAACTTTAATAACCCTGAAAAAAGTAATATATATCAAATAACCAATTAGCTAAGCTGTGGTTCACTCATTTACTAATCACTGTAAAAAAAAATTCAGAAAGAATTTCATTAGTGAGTAAAGTGGGTGTTAACCCAAGGAAGATCACATACAAGTGAGGGACGTAAAGGTAAAAGCACACTCATCAAGCAAGTGGTCATAACCTCGTATCATTAAGTTACATGTCATTACTATTGCATACACACATATTGGCAACTATCAACATTCCACACCAATGGATGTCACCCATCGCATGCGCAACTAATATATACATGTAGAAGGTTCTTAAAACCTTTTAACAAAAACTTATGAGTCAATGGCCAAAATCCAAGGTAGCAATCTAAGCATAAAATAGTTGAAGACCATACCCCGTTATACCTTCAACTCTTAGCTTTGCCTGTAGCTATGTAGTTATCTACTGATATTGTTGATGATATGCTTGCATAAGCAGAGCAAAATAGGGTCAAGTACTCATAACTGGGTGAGAAAATCATCGCATCGTTAGTTCACAACAAAGCATACTCATATCATACATCTAACAAAGAAGTCAAGATACTAGGATCAAATCTGGTCCATCCCGACATCCTAATATGTAAGAGAATCTACCATCTTGAATGATGCATATGCATCTTACCATGTTTCAAATACAGGCGTCTGATTACTCTCATACGATTAAATCTCCCGAAAATACATACCAAATATCTCTCAGGCTGTTGTCATATGTAACACCACTGCGGGCATGGTTGTAAATGATTATAAGTCAACACCGATGATGATAGCATAACGTCTAATAATAGAATAATAACAACATGGAAAGTCCTAGTTACCAAGTAAACATGGGACTACTAGGCTTACTGTACATCTGATAATAGAATACCAACATGGATAGCATAGACTAATTATGCCTAGTAAGCAGGTGGGTCGATTTTAGATCAAAACCTACTCAACCCGCCGATTGTCGGGTATAGCTTGTATAGCTAGTTCCAACAAAGAGTACTTTTTTTTTGCCATTCAAAACCCCAGAAGCGGAGAATGAAAAAGATATAATATCTGAAAAAGATCCAAAAGGATCCTTACATTCGTAACCAAGAAACGAAGTCGAACCCCTTAAACATACGGGTCCCAGCAAAGAGTACTCGGTCGCCCCAAAATTACGGTACCACTACTCTGTGGGGCTGGAGATTCCCTATATGGGCCGAAGTTCCCTCTCTTCTCTTCGGCCCATTTGTGGGCAAGCCTGGTGCCGATGCTACCGCGCTGGACTCCCGCCCGCCCCGCCCGTCTTCTTGCTCGTAAGCGGCGGGAGGGTTTAATGTAGGTTTTGGCTCGCCGACGGAAAACGATTTGAATTCGTTGTTTAAGCACAGGTAGAAGGAACTTCCTCGTCTCCCCTGTTGCAGCTGCAGATTTCCAAAGCGCCAAACGGGAAAGCAGCTCACGCAACGAATTTGCTTGGGTGACTTAAGGTGCCGTATTTTCTCCTTTTTTCCCCCCATTCTCACCCGCTGAATTACGTCCGCGTTGCTCCTCGAAGCCAACCTTCACTCTGCTTCCTTCTCCCCTAAAGATTGAGTTCTTCCGTTACTCTTGTGTAAAGCCTAGTTTCTTGACAGTGCAGCTATGGTGGATTTTTCATTTATGTGTCTAATTATTGTGTGATTTTCACTGTTCTGCTGGTCGACGAATTTTGACACGGGCCACGTGTTGTATGGTTTCTGCAGGTCGGAGAGCTTTATTCAGCAATCAATTTGCTAGCTTGCTTAGAATTAGTTCGATGGGTAGGGATAATAGTAATTTCTACAACCAGGGTTCAATGGGGAAGGGTGGGAGAAACAAGGTGAGAAATTCACTGAATGCAGACCCACAGCCAACCGTTGTCAGGTACTTGAAAACGGGATGCTAAATGTAAAATGGTGAATGTTTCAGTATCCTTGCGCATTTTCGACCCATTTCTATGATTAGCTTGCCTCTTACTAGAACACTGCCTTCTTTCGTAGGAATCAAATTGACCCGGAAACAAAAACATACTTCTCGGAGATTGCAAACCTTTTCGAAAGTAGTGAGATTGAATTAGAGGAGCGGTCAGTAATATGCAGCAATGCTCTTGAAGAAGCTAAAGGGAAAGAATTTGAGCTCGCAACTGATTATATAATAAGCCATACTATGCAAGGCCTCCTCGAAGGATCCGATGTGGACCACCTCTGTGGTTTTCTCCGAAGTTGTGCAGGATTGTTCCCTATGATCGCTACTGATAGATGTGGTTCTCATGTGGCTGAGACAGCACTCAAGTCTTTAGCTACATTTGTTCAGGAGAATGATTACTATTCACTTATAGAAGATACTCTAAATTCCGTATGCCAGGTATGAATTAGACTGTATTTCCTCCATCTATATTCCTGAGAAAACACGAATTTTAGTGATTTTTATCATTTTTTCCCCTGACAAATTATGTTCCTTTGTCATTCAGGGGATTGCAGCCAACCCTATTGATATGATGTGTAACCAGCATGGATCTCATGTTCTTCGTACACTTCTATGTCTCTGTGGGGGTGTACGGTTGGATTCCCCGGAATTTCATGGAGTAAAGTCATCCTCAGCTTTGGCTAATCGTTTAAACCTCCAAGCATCTCGAGTAGGTGGGAGTGATTCTGTGCATATTCACCAGGGATTTCCTGGTTTGCTTAAAGATATTGTATCAGCAATGTTGAAACATACCAGAGAAGACAGCAGAAGCATCCTAGTGGATCAATGTAGCAGTTTGGTCCTGCAGGTATGCTTGAATGTGGCCCAATATTGTGTCTTCTTGCTGTTTAAAGTTGGGTCATAATACCTTATACTACCATTGTTTCTGGATTTGGAAATATATTTTTGTAGTAGCACTTTATTGTTGCAAATGGATGAGCATTAGGTATATGTTCCGGTTCATTATTGTAAAAGTCTATAGTGGTGGAGTTGTCTGTTTTTCTTACCATATTTAATGTAACCAGTCAATCAAGATAATCCTCAGTTATCCATTGCTGCTGCCATCAAGGTTCTGGGACCTGATTGCTGGCATTAAGTGTTTTTGTGTTCTCCCTTTATGTAACTGCTTTGTCTAAAACTTTTAATCATGTGAATCTGCCTACTAATAATGAACATTTCCTGTTGCAGACAGCTTTGAAGTTGCTTGCAGGAGATAATGAAGAGTTATTGCATGTAATACCGGTCCTGCTTGGCTGCAAAAACCAAAACTTAATAGAAGGAAACTTGATAGACAAGACGATTGCTAGGGATATTGTGAAGCTTATGAAAGAACCTGCGTTTAGCCGCTTGATGGAAGTGAGTATGTTATTTTCTGTGGTTGCTCTACTATTATTTTCTTTACTTGCATCTTTTTTTCTAGGATTGTGTTCCATTTTCCATAATCCTTTCTGGATGCAAGGCTATGCAAATAACCAATAAGTGAATAGTGTAATGACCCTTATTGTAGCTAGTTTCCTGCTGCAACCAATTTCTGACTGATCCCTTGCATATATGAAGTTTGCTTCCTTTCTGCTACCTTAACAAACTCTCTTTTGGATTATAACATGTAGTCTATGTTTTTCTGAGCTGCTTCTTATCCTTGTAATTTTACTTAATCAAGCTTTAACACTTGTGCAGGTAATATTGGAAGTGGCTCCTGAAAGTCTGTATGAGGAGCTGTTCATGAAACTCTTTAGGAATTCACTGTTTGAGCTTTCATCTGATAAATGTGGGAACTTTGTGGTTCAAGCATTAATTTCTTATACAAGAGATGAAGAACAAGTATGTAATCTATCTTGTCCCATGTTGGTTAATGGCAATTGTAATTAAGATTTGATTCAATCTTTCAAACCAAGCACCCCCCCCCCCCCCCCCCCCCCAACCCAGTTGATGGATATTGTTCCCCTCATTCTCTATGACTAATAGGTGAAGTTGATCTGGAAGGAACTTGGCCCTAAATGTAAAGATCTACTGGAAATGGGGTGTTCAGGAGTCATTGCTTCATTCGTAGCTGCTAGTCAAAGGCTTCAAACTCATGGACTCGAGGTGAAACTTTGATCTGACATATTTGATTTATGAAAAGGCATTTTTGAAAGGCTTCATTTTGATAATGAGATCTGCCCACTTTTTGTTGGACAGTGCTGCCAAGCTCTTGCGGATGCAGTGCGTGTGGGGTCGGACGAGTCTCCAAGATACATTATTCCCAGAATATTGTTTCTTGAAAATTACTTCAGATGTGAGGACAAGTCCTCTTGGGAATGGCCAAATGTTTCTAAGATGCATGTTATGGGCTCTCTGATTCTACAGGCAGTTTTTAAATTTCCAAGTGTAAGTTGCATCTCACGGATAATCTTATGATGAATTTTTGTGATTTATGTTGCTGACTTGTTAATTCCATTGATGTCTCCTTGTTGATCCATTGGCAGGACTTCATAGAGCCATATATCAAGAGTTTCACGTGCATGGAAACGGAGCAGATCCTCAAAGTCGCAAAGGATGCTGGGGGAGCTCGTGTTCTTGAAGCATTTTTAGATTCAGACATCTCTGCCAAGCACAAGCGGAGAGTTATTTCAAAGTTTGTGGGATTCAAGTCCTTAGGAGTTTTGTTTCTAATATATATATATATTTTCTCGCTTGACATTTGTGTAAAAAATGGTGTTGTTTGGTCTGTATACAATCTTGACAGGCTAAAAGGACATTTTGGCGAGCTGGCAAAAAACCCGTCTGGTTGCTTCACTGTTGAGAAGTGCTTTACCGTGAGTAACCTGTCATTGAGAGAGGCCATAGCATCAGACTTGGCAACAGTGCAACAAGCGCTGGAACACTCCAAGGCAAAGCAAAGCCTCTACCTCTTAAGGAAGCTGGATATTGATGGGTATGCGCGCTGCACTGCTTCAATTTTCATTAAGTTAACCTGTGTGCAGTTCTTATGTTCATGGGCTTCAGCTTGCTTGCTCAACTTCTATATTCTGCATGTTTATTTTGTTTTTGGGTCTGCCATTGTGCTATAGATATGCCAAGCGGCCTGATCTATGGAGATCAAAGCAAGAGTCGAGACAAGCAACATACGACGAGTTTTATGCAGCATTTGGGAAAACTGAGGATGCAACAACACATTCAAGAAAACGAAAGAAAAGGGAGGAGATTGTTGATCACTTGCCCTCGGAGGAACATGCCAAAGATGTTGATTCCAAGGGTGGCAAGAGAGTGAAGAAGCACACGGAGAAGGTTGAATCAGCAAGTGATGGTCCTCCAAAAACGCCATTCCTATCGGAAGAGATGCAGGGGAAGAAACGGAAGGGGAAGACTGGGCAGTTGAAAGCTTGGAAATAGTGAACGGCATGAGCACCTGCTGCCGCTGCCTTCTGCAGGTTCTTCACCAGACCTTTCTGATTATCTTTCTTCTTACAGTGTAGCCCCATAGGACTGTTGGGTGTTTAGCACTTCTAGGTTCGGGGTTACTTTTTGACCTCAATGAGAGCATGATTAATTTGATGTATGAAGAGGAAGTGATGTTGAAAGCGGCTGATGAAAGGCAAGCATGGTAACCATGTCTTGGTGAAACTTGGTCAAAATTTTGTACTACAACTACTTGAGCTTGTGTTCATGCAACTATACATTCTGGCTTTTTGGTAGCTCTTTTCATTGTATCAACGCTGTATCAACGAAAGTGACAAGTGCTCGATATTTGGTCTTAAAAGAATGTCGATAAAGTGGTAGCCATGGAAGGGAGCATTCATCCCAAAACAAAACCCCTCTTCCTACTTTGCTTGCTTTGTGCTGGTCGAAGTAAAACAAAAAAAGAATCTTCCTACTTTGCTTGCTTTGTGCTGGTCGAAGTAAAACAAAAAAAGAATTGAATGTTGCTCTGCTTCTCATCTATAAAAGCCTACGTAATCTACTACAATCAGTTTAGACCAAATGATACCCGCAGATATACAAGAACAGACAAGCCACATTAAAGTAAACACTACCAGTCTACATTACATGCTATTCTTAAACTTCAACACATCTTTGGCATCTAGCCCATACATCTCGCAAACACTAGCGATCGCAGTTTCGCTAACATCATTATCTTCATGTTGCCCGACGATGATCTCCTGAAGTTCCCTTGATGGCTGCAACACCTGCAAGTATCTTCAGAACAAGGCTTCACAGCCACGGAAGCCAATAAATAAACAGCAACCATGACATGACAACACCAGCATGTATTGAACATTTATCAGCAATGCAATACAACATCAGCCCGCTGGACAATAGGGTGACGGTTTTCCTACTGCAACAACCCTGGCTAACTCTATATACGTACGTAAAACCAGTAGCAAGTAGCAATAACATCTATGGGCTTTCAAGAGGTCTACCCGAATAACTTACAGTAAAGATTACAACATTCTTAAACTATTCTGCAAAGCCGAATCAAGGTCAGTCATCGTAATTCTAAGTAGTGAGGTGCCAAACCATTTCAGAATTATTCTTTCAAGAACGAACCCACGTTTTCTGTACCGACTCAACTGATAGACTAAAATGAATCTGCGTAAAGACACTCAAGTACACACATCATATGCTCCTCAAGCTAGCCAAAACACACGTGACTAGACTGAATCCACCTGGTTAGCATAAGACTCCTTGATGTACCATGAACGTCAAAGGAATTATGACATGTTGAAAACTTGAAATGAAGCAAAATTAAGGTTATTCAATAATCCAAACAGAGGAAACTCAAGTGCATTCAGCTTGAAGCCAAAATAATACAGAGGCCAGTAGCATTCATTGCTACAAATTGCATTCTGACTCACCCATGGAGAACCTTGTGAAGAAGGGGCTTTATCCTTGGAGCTGTCGTCCCCCTTCTCAGTTTGACCTTGTCCACCATTTTGATCCGCACATTTTTCAGACCATGAGTGATCGGACACCAGCTTAAGGAGTGTCTCACTTCCCTATTTATTTTTTGGAATATTCAAGAAAAGATGAGAATTAACAAACGCGGAGACTCAACTCCTAAGCAATATTGTTGTCCAAGTTAACCACAGAACACATGTCCCATCTATAAGCAGGCTACTTATAAATGCGTGAAATAATCCTCACTTCAAATATTTGTAATTCATCTTTTCAGAATATTGTAATGGTTTACAGACCTGCAGCGCTCGCCAATGAGAATAAGTTCGAAATAAGACCCAAAAGAATGGTATATTGGGCAGAGGTAAAACCTGCATCACATAGAAGTGATAGATCAATAAATCCTCAAGTATGAAACACTTAATTACAGTTGATTACAGGAACATCTGAACCGCACCGTGTACTGAAACGAAACTATAAACACATACGTACACTCAACGCAGATGTCAGTGGAAGTAATGTTACTGAACCATAGAAGTATTTCTTGTGGATGGAAGCTCCTCTGAAAATCAGGCAGCATTAGAGCCAATATAGACGTAATAGACTATGCAAATACATAAATGAAACAAGTACAAAGAAAAAAGCAAAACAAAAATCTGCCAACTCTTCCCAGACATATTACCAAACTGGACTAGTACCTGATGATTGGAATACAAAATTTAGTGACATACAACAACATATTAGCCTCATAGCAAGGGAATAATATTTTTTTCCCTAAAAATTTGGATCTCAGAGAAAACCTTCACATTTGAGCTGAGGCAATGTTTCACAAGTCAAGCAGCGCCCAATGGAAAATTCAAAGTGTGCATCAGAATTATGATTACTCATTCTTAAATCAGAGTGAACATCATAAGTACAGGTTTAAGTTACAGACATACACTACCAAGCGTAAGCCAACAAGATATGCTCATCATAACACAGGCAGTGTATCCATATAAACCTCCAGAACAAGCATAATGGATTGAGTGCACAATCGATACCAATCATGAAAATGTAAAGCAGGCACGATGCTTATTTCATTAAAGCTGGTAAGAGAATCATGCTGACCCCTCGGCAGTAAAAGTAGATAGAGTTCTTGAAAGAATACAAGATGTATGATTCAGAGGATGCAATTATTATAATGGGAGAAAGGGAGCATCCAAAATTTTAAGAGTACAATAAGTACTTACCTAATTGCAATATGGCGCAATCTTCGTCGCACAAGCCGTGCATTTAAACTGCAATAGATGAAATAAAAGACTCAAACATAACAAATGAGATGGGTATAACTGATGATGTGTCTCATGCAATCTATTATCTCTCTGGCATTGTACATCCCTTTTACAGTATGAATGATGCATACAACATATAATTAGAACAAAAAAAGTAAGAGCACTAGGAATCTGATAAGTCTAGATTCACAGTGAGCCGGAATTTCATAAGAAGACATCAAGATTTTGAGAATTTTGAATAAACTGAAGGAAACAAGACTCGAGCAATAGCTAGATGCACTATGTCTTAAAATCAAGAGAAGCTTTCCCACTCATCAGTCTGGAGAGTTCAGTCAGTGCAACTGAAGGAGTACATTCGGATATAAAAATTGAATAGTAAACCATCCCTTCTGACTACAGATACCGAACTCATACTCATTGCAACTGTCACCGAGCTTCGAACTCATCAGTTTAATAGATTATTCAAACGACAGACCTTCGTTGGACAATTCAATCTCACCTCAATTATATATAGAACAGAAGCGCTTCCCGCTGGTTAAGGTAAGTTTATCATCTTAAATTCCCTACTCATACAAATTTGGGAAGAGATGAGCTTCCATAGACCTACTACCTTGCCAGAACAGGTATATAGCAGTCCTCAGCAAAACCAGAACTCCCATCCATTTTACTCTATCGTCAAAGAGGGCTGGTACTAAGAAATTCAACTTTCCAAAACAGGGCTACGGCCTTAAGGGCTACACTAAAATGCTCAGATGAACCGCAAAGCGTTTCCATTGTGCTGTGGTTGCAGACAATCTAGAGCTGGTGCTCTTACGTGTATTCCTAAAAATATTCTGAAACTCAAGCATCTCTAACGAAGTAATAATCAATTTGACAGAACTATTTCTAGTTCTAAAATATGTCAAGAAACAATCATTGGACGGAAAAGGGAACAAGCTTAAGGAAGAAGAACAAGAGCACAGAGTAGAGTAAAGGACCTGACGGGGTATACTATTTCAACACCGGTGACGTCCCTGGATATGGACTTCAAGAAAATCTCCGACGGCTTAACCCGCGCCAGTAGCTTCAAACCTACCCTACTCACGCGCAGAAGCAGTGATATGAAAACGAAGCCTGTTTTCTGAACCAAAGTAATGGGAGAGAAAACCAACACGGTAGACGGAGAGAAGGGCAAGTAAATGGGTACCCATGAATCTTCTTCTTGAGAGTGCCCTCGGGCGATTTCTCCATACCCATCCAAGCTCTGTTCATCTTGTTAGCGACGAAATCGACAATGAGCTGGGCATTGTGAGGAGCGGAGGAGCCAGAGGAAGTGATGCTGCGCCAGAGATCCCGGATAGTAGAAGGGGAGGCGGATGAAGAGGAATGGTGATTAAGGGAAGGGTCGAGAGATCTGGAGAAGCACCAGTTCCTTCCACGAAGCGGGAACACAACCAATCTGGCTCTCATGGCTGGCTATGGGTCTTGAACAGAAATGGTGTATACAGAAGTAGAATGAAGCGGGAGGGAGGGAGGGAGGGAGACTGTAATGCAAGATTGACAAAGAATGGAATGGAGAAATTTGAGGTGGAACTCTGCGTACTCTACTCGACTGGGTTCCTTCCCTTCTTCTTCTTCCCTGCGATCAAATGCTTAAACCCACGACAGAGCTTGGAAACCCTATGCTCTATTTTCTTGCAATAAACAAATCCACAAATGCTATCCTCGTCAGGTTTGGGATGCTAACATGGCAGTCCACCAAAAATAGCCTCAAACTTGTGGATTTTGATTTCTTAATTCTTTAGTGCTCTGATCAGAAAAGGAAGACAGCATTTCCACCCAAAATAGTCTCAAACTTGACAGCACAATTCGGGAGAACTCTGGTTTGAAGCCGTGGTTGTGGCTGTTATACACAAAAGATTCGATTAATGCCAATTCTGGGCTATGGTGAGGTTTTTTTTTTTTTTTACAAAGTACATTGAATTTTCCATTAATTGAAGCAAAATCCAATCATTACAGGAGAGGTGCAATCAAATCGAGAATTTGCAACCATTACGAGGGAAGTTGGCTTTTAGCGCAGGATTTGGCCACCCAATTCGCGTTGGAGTTTAATTTTTGACCGATGTGCTGAATTCTGATCTGCGGGTTACTGTCCAAAATAAGCTTGATCAGACCCAGTCTTGCAGCCGCTCGCCATGGCCATGTCTTGGGGGGCCGCTCGATAGCATGAACCAGCTGCAGGCAATCAGACATCACCAGGCAGGGTGCTGTGAGCGAGGCAGCCAAACGGGAGCCCTCCAAAAGGGTCAAGGCTTCTGCTTCAATAGGGGAGAAACAATGCAAAGACTCAGCTTTACCATCACACAGTTGACCATGGCTGTTCGAGACAACGACGCCATAAGCCGCCTTCTGGGAATCATCAAAGAACGATCCGTCGCAGTGTACTTCAAAGTAATGAGTACCTGGCGGTGGTGAAGAGTGTTCAGGGGGTGGAGTGGGCTGAGTTGAAGGGGAACCAATGGGGTGGATCCGAGGGCAAGTGGTCCACTGGAGGTGATCAGATGCTGCTTTTGTGATGGTGGCTGGGGGCCAAGGAGGAGAGGTGCAAATAGAGTGATAAGTAAATATTATGTTACTATAAAATAGATTTATCAAATTTATAAAATATTATTACAAAATAAAAATAATTATATAATAATTAATATACTGTAATAAAAAATCATTATGATATAATAGTGCTCAAATAATAATTAATTATAACAACTGTTAATAATCATTGGTCGAGCGACCTCGTAACTCGAAGCACAACTCGTAACTGTTCATCCTACAAGGTTCTCGTGTCTAATTTAACTTTAAATTGAATATGGTTAAACTTAGTCAAACACATTCCACAAACACTTCTTATCTCTAATTTTCAATGCAAATTCGAGTCAACCAAGAGATCTCTATTTGACGAGACGAACATTGATAAACTTGTTCTCAGAGTCAAACGGTCAACTCTGAACAATTTCTATATTAATGATAACTATAATAAAAGAAACTGACAATATTAATTATTAAAAAATAATAAAAGAAACGGTCAACTCTCCCTCCCTTCCTTCCCTAGCACCCCAATTTGGGAGTAAGCTGAAATGTTAATTTTGCATCTCCGGTTTGCACCCCCTACTGTTCCAAATTATCCAAACAAGTGCAAATGTGTTGGAAACTGTGTTTACCCCTCACATTTGCAAATGTGTTGGTCCAACATTTTTTATTTATTTTTTAACCAATATTCAAAAGGTTCCAACAAATATTCTCATCTCTAAGACAAACAAATATTACACACAAATTAATAGGTAACGTATTAATAGGCAACGAACAACTATTCAAACGCACTGCTGATGTATTCAAAGTATTCGAACAAGTATTTTCATCTCTAAGACCAAGAGAGAGGAAGAAAGAAAGAAAAATGAAAGAGAAAGGTGAATGATATAAAATGTCAATTGAATTGTGGGACCACCATATGAAAATGTATTATGCTCCTCTCTACTTTTCACTTGTCATATTCCTTCTCAAAACCAAGAAATCTCAACCCTTTAAATTAAGTAGTGGGACCTAAGTGTTTATCTCACTAATAGTGAGCATGAGTGCTCACAAATGGGTGTGATCACCATAGCAAAATTGATTCTGGGTAGGATATCTCTTTTGTTGGTGTCAATTATTTGGTTTTCAGTGAAATCTTATATGGTTTCAGTGGATAGAAGAAATAAGTGAGATCCCATATAAGATTTTTGTGTGATCCTTTGTTTCGAGACGAGTCATCGTGATAATTTGGAAATTTCTAGACTCGTATATCGAGATCTTAGTTGGGCACGAGCCAATGATATGCAGACAGGAATGGCAATGGGGCAGGTCCGGGGCGGGTTTTTTGGTACCCAGACCCGCCCCGTGGCAGGTCGGGTCCAGGTCGGGTAATTGATCACGGGTCGCGGGTTGGGGCAGGTCGACCCAATGGGTATGCAATTTATATGAAAAACATTAGAAATATTCGTTATTTTTATTATAAGACTAAGAAAACAAACAATATTATGACAATTGTAGTTAAATTATTGGAGAAATTGAAGTTTTTACTAATTTACAACTTTATTATAGCTAAAACATGATGCAATAAAAGGAAAATTCTAAGTAATTTGACTAAGATTACATGTAATTTAGACAAGAACGGGTCGAGAATGGGGCGGGTCAGGGCAGGTCGGGTCGATGAGACTACCCATGCCCGCCCCACCCCGCCTACGGGGCGGGTCGGACCCGCCCCAAAACAGGTCAAACAGGTCGGGTAAAACGGGTCAGGTCGAAATTGCCATCCTATATGCAGATCGTCCAGTTGGTGATGAATGTCAATGGGATGGGGAGTCAATCATCGAGTCAGGGGGGTGGAACTCACCTAGCGCGGGAGGAGGTCTGTCATAGACTTGGGTCGAACTAATTGATATGGGGCCTTGCGCTTGCCCGACGCGAGGAGGAGCAATTTGGCTTACTAGGCCTCGCGAGAGGGAAGCCACGGGCGGGTTGTCACGTGGAATTGGTCGCACCAAGAGGAGGATAGATCAGGTATCTTTAGGCCCAAGCCAGCCTAATTAGAGTATCTAGAATTCAATAAGAGTGCAGATCCTTCTATATGGTTCGTGCCTGTGGATCAATTTTTCAAATTTCAGGAGACCCCAAAGGAGTACCAAGTTCCAATTGCGTCATATCACATGTAGTGATGGCAATGGGACGAGGTCGATTGGGTAACTTAATATCCATACCCGTCCCCGCACAGGTCAGATCGGGTAATACCCATGCAGGTACGGCGGGACAAGTCGATTCATTCTTATATGTTATTTGAAAAAGGAACGTCAATATTTAACTCTTTTATGGGAACACATAGAGAAAACACTTCATAAATGAATGATAAATATAGTAGAAGGAATAATTGAGTCCGATCGCATAGAGGGAGATGCTAACCAATTGTGGCACATGTTTAGGCCAGGTACTGTGTGCGAGACAATTCAACTTGCCATGGTGAAGAACGAGGAACTGGCCAAGCATTGTGGAGTGCGAAGAAATCCACCACGTGCTTAAATAGAGGTGCCGACCAAACCAGCAGTTGTGCCACCTTTAGCCGTACCACCCCCAACCCTACTACATGAAGGATGTCAATAGAGGAAGTAGCATAACGAAGAACCCAAAGATAATACTTCAACTGAGACGAGCGATTAACCATTGGTTATTGTTGTGCCAATGCAAACGTCTTTCTCATGATTGGATCGTGCGAGATTGACGAGCAGGGTCAATTCATCAATAAAGATAACAAACCTTGTGGGCAAGGTTGTGTTTAAGGGGAATGATTGTTACAAGGCGAGACATTGGATAATTTGAGAATTACTACGCTCATATATCCTTTTGTATTTTTATTAATTAGTTCGTATATTGTTGTTAATTTGTGATATTCGTATTATTATTAGTTGTTTTTGTAGGATTTGGTTATTGTTTCCTTGTGAGATAAGTTTCATGTTTTAGGTAGGAAAAGGAAGAGGGGGTATGTGCTAGGTTACCCAATTCATTGGGTCGGACCTCATGTACTCGCTCTAGAGCTCCATAATCGGAGAAAATTTGCGATTTTTTTTTACCGAGTACAATTTTACATTTTTATAGTGCGATTTTTGTATGACAAGAAAAAAGAATAAAACCACATTTTAGGATAATGCGATCGGGGAAGACGATGGACAAAGTCGCCCATTGACAATCATGGTTCCAGTCCCCTCTTAAGGATCGGAAGAGGAGCAAAAGTAGCAGACTTACATCTATTTTCAATCCGAGGAAGAAGAACATGTAGTATTAATGATACAAAAACACACCATCAATGATATATGAAGACCATTCAATTAGCTTTAACGCCACATTTTCACAACTCCAAACTATCATCGACGTGATCTAAGAAAACTGGAATTCAAGATTTCTTCCATTTCAAATCGCCGTGTATGAAATCCTTGTGTCGTTATTTTGGTGGAGGACTAAAGAGTTCGAAGAGGGAAACCGAAGGCGTGAACAGAAACGAAATCACAAACATGATTATAAAATAGATAGAGAAATGAGAGACTGTAATGGCGTTTTTGAAGGAAAATTGAAAAGAACATAGGAAGGGTCCCATTTAGTATCATTTTGTTTTTGTTTTTCACCGTTTGTAGATCAACATGCAAAGGTAGTTTTAAAAGAAAAATAACAAGAGGTAGAAGAAAAAAAATTTAGCAGAAGAATCCTCAGCTACTTCTGAATTCACTGTTTACTACGGTAACTTAATAAGTTTATTGTGACACGTTGCAAGCCAAAAATAAAAAAGGACAAAAACTAACTAACTAAAGTTTAATGTATTTCCACAGCAATCGATCCAACGAATTCCTTTCTCGTGTTGTGCATCAAAACCAAGAAGTATAACCTCCAAAATCCGCTGTTGTATATGTATATTTCTTCAACTTCTAAAGCACCAAACTTAAAAACACTTGCTTTTCGCTCCCTATGTGCACAGCCGAGCCGAGAAAACGCCACTTCTCTATGCATAATAAGAAACAAACTGCTGCTTGCTTACAAGTATCTTCAGGAAGGAATAAACGAATGGACGGAGCAGCTCGGTTGCTCGCTAGCTATCTCAGGCACAAGAGTCGGGCTCAGCAGGGATCTCCACGACAGAAAACACTGACAGAAGGATTCCATCGTTCATTGTTTCCCAGCAGCTGCTCTGCTCCGCTCCAACCAACTACAATCAAGGATGCAAGTAAGGAAATGAACCCATCTCCCCTAATTCCCAAACCTCGAGTCTTCTCGTCATCGTCTTCTTCTTCATTTCATTCATCTTCTGCTATGAAGTTTGGGAGCTCACCCTGGCACAGGTATTCATCGCATGATGATCCAGAATCCCAGTCCTTGCGAAGCCTTAGAATATCTTCCGTGAAAGTTGATCCTGCTGCCCCAATAAATACACTTGACATGGCGCATATGCTCTTATCCAGCATAGCTTCCACCTATCCAAACCAGCACAAGGGAAATAAACCAAATAAATACGATATCAGCAAGGATGAGAACTGATGGATCTAGATACACACAACTTCACTAAGCAATCAACACAAGTAACAGAGATTAGCAGTCCTGCACAAATTACTCAGCTCATTTCAACATGTTGGATCCTAGCTAGTTCAACATGTAGGAACTAATTATTCTGGAGCTGTAAATCATTCATATTTTTAGAACTGTCGTTAAACTTCATGATTATTGTGATATGCTAGCCACTGCTAATTTAAGTTACTTATGTTGATTTCTTAGTGAAGTTGTGTGTATCTAGATCCGGTCCATTGAATTTAACAAGTGATGAGATACAAGTGCTACATACAGATTAACAGTAACGCCCCCATAAAGCAAGCTAAAAAAATGTTGCATGTGAAAAATGTTGGACCTTATGAATGTACACTTAATACATGAGAGAGATCCGTTAAAAAAAAAAAAAAACATGAAAGAGAGTTTGTCTCCTAGTATTCTCATGCATAGATGAGAGAGCCTGTCTAGTTATTTCAATTGAGAGCTTGAAACATAAAATTCTGTTTTTCTGTGCTACTAAGCTAGGGCCTTTTCCACAAACCACTTGGTGCATCCTCATAGTACGAATCAACAGCGAAGGACTCCGTTTATTTCAACATATAAACACAGTAACCACTTACAGAACACCCACTAGCCAACTTCTCAAACCAAACACATTCATGGCAGACTCTAACTGTTTTCCATCTCAATAAAATTATATAGTTTTCCATCTCTCAGAACATATCCACCTGTTTCTTACCACCTAGACATCACATGCAGCCTAAACAGCTCGACAAAGTGAACTTCACAATAAATTGCATGTAGCATTAGGAAACAGTCCCCCACGGAGCAGAACTAACTCCACAAAGAAACAAAGAGCAAGAACAACTAAAACAATGAAAGCATACGAAGGACAGGAAAGGTTCCCACCTGTGGATCATCCTCAAGGTGATGTCTATATAACAAAGCATCCCACTTTTCAGCTGCATTAGGAGGAGGTCGCTTAACTAATGGTATGGTCTTCCCATCCACAACCACTAGTGACTGCAACAAGTTGGTTTCACTTTCTGCTGCATCAGTCGAAAGATAGATAACTGGTGCATTTGCTTTTCCAATCACGTGAGCGATGCAGCTAGCAGCTTGAGGAACCGGGTAAAAGCAACTCGGCTTTTTAGCATTGCTGGAAAATTATTCATAACAGTAAGTCAAACTAAGCTGTCCCCAGTCCCAATACCAAAGACATAAGCACACTAGCTAATACATTCAAAATTCATGAAAGGGATATTAAATCTCTGTGCACCAAAGCTACCAACCTAGTATGCATGACCTCAGGTACGTGGAATGAAAAGATATCTAGTCCAAACACCAGGATAAGTTTTCAACTAAGCAATAATTTTCTGCCATGTGTCCGGGAAGAAAAAAGCTTCATACACATTGAAGGCATTGCTCAGAAAACTTAACCATAGTATATTCCCATTCCCTGGAGGAGACAATCTAGAGACCTAGGTTATGGTAACTGAACATGAGACAGAACAAAAATAACCATTAGGTAGGAAGAGATTCTTGGAAAAAGAAAGGCTTCCTTTTGTGACTTCATAAACATGTAATGTGCAGGGGAAGTAAGCTCACCAGAACTTCAAAAAGCCATGCCGCCGGAAATGGAGAGCAATGAAATTGTTCCCCAAGAAAGTCTGGATGAAACGCTGGGCTGTGAGCGTGATAAGTCTACTAGGTTCAATCAAGGTCTTGCATTTGTGAGCCAGAGGGCCACCGGGCTGCATCAGCCATTCAGTCTCTACATCAGCGTAGAAGACATCTCCAATGGCGATAACATCGTCATCAGACGAGAACTTGGCCACCACTTCATGGGCAGTCCTTTTGCCAGGTTTCCTGATATCCTCTTTCCAAGGAGACTCTAGCTTACTCCCCACAGAGATCCCCAAAGCCTTCAACTTCTTGACATGGTCCTCGTCGACGTAACAGGGCGTGGGAGCCGAGAAGTAACATATGAACTTATCAATTCGCAGGCGATCCTTCCTCATCTCCTCGAATTCTTCGAAGTTGAGCACAAGCTTGCTTCCCAGACACGCATTAATGTGATCGATATCCAATACTCTACTATAGTGATAATCAAATCGATTGCTCGGGAAAACCAAGACCCTGTTGAGCAAAGCAGCGAAGAACATGTGCTTCTCCAGGCAAATCAAGTGGTTACTCATCTGGCCAGACAAACAAATAGCAAACAAGAACTTATCGGGCCGGGGCTTCCAGACCATGGTTTTCCGGTCGGGCAGGCGACGGTGGAGGCTCTGGCAGCTGGAGAAGCGAGCAGGAGCCACGGCAGATGGATCGGAATCTGAAGACAATGTAGTGTTGTTGACGGGGGAGTTATGAGGGGATAATAGAACTTGTTCAATCTGCTTGTTGAGCGAAATCAAGGGCAGGAGAGCGGATTGGATGGAAGAAGATGAAGAATTGGAAGAATGGTTCCAGAGGGAGAGGAGAGAGCTTTGCTGCTGGTGGAGGAGGTAGAGGGCCCGGAGTTCGGACTCGCGCATCCGATCGGAAAGGGGATCGAGATTGAGGGCGGGGAATTTGGAGTTAGAGAAGAGGGTGCGGAAGTCGGTGGAGAAGTAGAGGAGGACGATGAAGAGAGGGAGGAAGACGGCGAAGAGGTACCTCTTGGACAACCGGCGTCGGAAGCCATTGCCGAAGGTGCGGAGATCCTCGACGTGTAGAGAAGAGGAGGGCGAGCGGCGGGGAGAGGACGAGGGTTGGTGAGGGGTGGGATGGGGATGCTTCCGGTCATTCTGCTCTAGGAAGCTCTCGCGATCGTCGTCTTCGTCGGAGGAAGCTCTGTCCATCGCTGTCTGGCGCCGGCTGAAGCAGAGACTGGCAGTAAACCTCGGCGAGATAGACGGGCTGGTGCTGGTTGGTGGGCAGTGGGCTCTCTTTCTTCAGCAGTTCAGCGGAAAGCTTCCGATGCCCTAACCGCAATCTCTCTCACCGGCCACCGCCAGATTTTGGGATGGCGTATGAATTGGGGTTTGAACTTTGATTGATTGTGAATCGCTGCGTCGGTGGTTGGACGAGGACGACGAGGATTCAGCTAGTGCACTGCCAGTCATGACGACACTCTGGCAACAAATTGCCAAAATGGGGCATGTTTTATTTGGTACGAAAAAAAATTAAGAATGCAAATTATTTTAGGGATGGCAATTTCGATCTCACCCGTTTTACTCTCTTTGATCTATTTTGGGGCGGGGATGGGCGGGCATGAGTATTATCATCGACCCGACCTGTCTTGACCCGCCCCATTCTCGACCAGTTTTTGCCTAAATTATATGTAATTTTAGCCAAATTACTTATGATTTTTCTTTTATTACATCATATTTTGGCTATTATAAAGTTGTAAATTAGTGAAAACCTCAATTTATCCAATATTTTAACTACATTTTATCATATTATGATTTGTTTCTTGGTCTTATAAAGAAACTAACAAATATCTCTAATGTTTTTCATATAAATTACGTACTCATTGGGTCGACACCTGAATCCGACCTGCCACAAAACGGATATGGGTATCGAGATACCCGCCCCGGATCTGCCCATTACCATTCCTATTTACCTTGTATAATTTATCTTACCCAAATAATGAAATTATTAGAGATTCACTCTTTCTTCATCTCCATTATCAATAGTCTTTTCTTTTTTCTCAAATCGTTAGTATCTTCATCACCCAACTCACTAAACTCTAAGCAGATATTGAATATTTGTAGCAAAACATGTAACTCAGAATTGGAACCTGAATTCATAATATAGCCAATTTTTCAAAATTAAAAATTTCACCTCCAGAAATCCCTCCTTCCCATCCTAAATCTCATCTTCATCTTAACCTAATTCATTGACATTCATTGGCTTCGGTGTTGTTGTTACCTTTAGTTTTTTTTTTTTTTAATAATAGACTCCACCTAGCCTTTAGAAATTAGAATCTCTAAAAAATCTCAATTTGATCTCTTCATTTTTCGGTTCCAACAACGATTTCTTGTCTGATTCTTCATTTAACGAAGGCAAATCCCTCTTCGATGTTAGAGTGAAATCTTATTGCTCTGTGCTCCGTTTTGTCTCTCCCAACCGGAGGCCCCCAAAATTGGCTCGCTAAAGACCCTCAACAATACGATGCATATCTGCTTTGAATCATCAATAGTGTGCTTCTCGGCGATGAAGAAATGGGGCGCTCGATGAGCCAGTAGAGCGTTGGTTGCTAGTGACTGCGATATTGGGGCATTTAGGGTTTAAGGCACGGATAAATTAGGTTAAGAGGGCGATGAGATTTGGGGTGGGAAGGGGGGGATTTAAGGAGGTGTGATTTTTAATTTTGAAAAAATGACTGCATTAGTAATTAGTATCAAAGTTTTGGCTATACGAATATGTATTGACAAATATGACATGACAGACGGGTGGCAAAGTAAAAAAAAAGTACCATATCAGTATAAATTGTTAGTCCAGTCAGCATCATTAACGGTGTGTGACGGAATGACTATATTTGTCAAACAAAACCCAAAATCTAACTATGCAAGTGTATTTTTTTCAAATCAGGCTACAAGTGTCACAAACATCAAAGTTGTGGCTATGCAAGTGTATTTTGTCTAATGTTAATGAAACTGAGTTTATTTATCTCTTTCGATATTTTGGTGTAGATTGATGGTTGAGTTTGATCTTTGACTCTCATTAGAGAAGGTGGTGCATCTCCTCCATCACTGTTCTTTTAAATCAATTATTATAAAATCATAATTTATTTTTGATACTCCAAATTTATAATACACAAAAAAATACAATATGAAGTTCGGTAAGCTTGCCGTTTGGAGAATATGAGTTTAAATCTACAGATTGTCAACAATCTAAACATTATAACTCCCCAGATTGTTGAAAACAGATTTTATGTTTATTGTTTGGTAACTGTGATTATTAACATCCCATTAAAATAAAAAAAATTATATTAAATAACATGTTTATCCTTAATAAAAAATTATAGTGGTTCGAGAAATATTAAAAACTTTGTTGATAAATATATTTCATGTGATAAATAAATAAAAAGAAGAAAAAACTAGGAGAAATTTTTTTTTATGATCAAGATATAAAATCGAAAAACAACAACAACAACAAAAAAACACTTTCTACAAAATCTACAAATTCAGTGAATCTATTCTCCAAACGAACTTAATTCGACGGCAACAAGCTTTTGGATTATATCACCTCCCTGTCCCAGGCCAAACTCTAATCAGATTCAGACCCATTGCGTCACTTACTACACTAACACGCACATTCCAAGCTAAAACTAATAATTAGTAATTACTATACAGTATACACCAAACTGTCATCGAAGAGTGGAAATGTGGAAAAAGAAAAGAAATACAAAGTGCTCCAAAAGAAAGAATGAAGCACAAAGTGCTCCAGCTAAAAGCAGCACATGCATGTCTCTGCATCCTTCGATGTCACCACTAAGCAGATCAGGAAAAATTATCATAAACAACGATAATGATAATAAACTCTTCCAACGACTACTACTACTACTACATTCAACCTCCTGGTACCATTTCAACAAGTCTTCCGCGAACCCATCTCTTCGCAGTCACCCCGGCCACCAAATCTGAAGGTTTCTCCTCACTCTCGTGCAGCTCGACTCTGGAACCATTAGGCCGGACACTCGTTGCAGATTTGAGATTCCCGTTCACTTCACCCTGGCAGCAGTGGTCCTCTGGTGTCTCGACGAGACTCGCCAAATCGAACACCTGATGCGGGCTGCAATACTTACCATGGAACTCCAGTCTACTCGAGTTGATCAATTCCCCATCTTCAGCACACGTTGCAGAAGCTGTTTTCGTTCCCCCATTTACGAACACTGGTCTGGTAGAGCCTGGCGACCCACCAGCATCATCAACTTCCTTCCCCTCATCGGACAGTTCAGTTGTTGCAAGATCAACATCCCCTCGATCAACACACTCAATGGACTGAATTGCTTCTGCTATAAGCTTTCTAGACTCTACCAGAGAAGCTCGCGCAATCGGGCTTTCTGCTGCAGCAACCTCAAGGACCTTAGCTGCCTTCTCAGCTTGAGCAATTAATAACCTGCATATTGTGGCTATATGGTTAGGAAAACGTATATATAATCACCAACTTCAGAAGACTACTTCTAGCTCAAACTAACAGCTTAACAATCACCATGCTCTTTCAATGGCTTCAGTTTTTTTAGTTTCCACGGCAGCTCTTTGTGCTCTGATGTTCATTATCATCTTCAACTTGGACCTGGCTAAAGGATCCTTGTAAGAAGGGGTTGTACTGTTTCGCTGTTTCATGACCTGTGTAGAGCTCGTGGCATCACTTCCACAAGAACTGCTTGTTTCACTGGCTTTCTTTTTTGCACTGTCCCTCTTGGTGGATGGTCTGCTGCCAACTGGCTTTCGCCTTGGCTTTCTCACGGTTCCTTCCGCAACACCATGATATTTAGCAAGGGCAGAGCAAACTCGATCTCGGTATGCCTAGACAAGAAGGAAAAAGAAGTTGTAAGACAGAGGGCAACGCATGCAATATTTAGAATCAAACAAAACATACACTTGCAGGCCGTCCGTGGAAGATAGGTGTTGCAATAAATGAACATTAGGATGGGGGGAAAAAAACTAATAAGAGAAACAGGAAAACAAATGCTTCCTAATTGCTTACAGGATCAGCCCATTTGGCAGCAATGGCTTCTGCAATCTTTCTTCTTTGCTCAAGGGATTTTGGTGCCCTCTTGTTGCCTTTTGTCCTAGGAGTTGCTCTCCGCTTTTCAATACTCTCTACCCATTCAGTTTCAAGCTGTTTACTCAAGATACTGTAAGAATTCCATTCCAGCTCTTCCTCGTCAACACAGCCAATCCTTGAAGATGATGCAATCAAGTTCTGCCACTCAAAATAACAAGTTTCTTGCACCATTAGCTTGTCACGACGCTTTTCCCATCCCATTCGCACTCCTTGGCCAATTTTCAGTCTTGTCTCTTTGCTGCAAGATGATTAACAATGCAATATGTATTAATGTGGTCTAAGAAGGTAAGGTTAACAGTTCTAAACCTAATGACTCCATCATACTCACTAACCACACAAAAGTGAATCATTGCATTATAAACAGAAACTGTCAGTGTATGGAGAAGTAGCAGCATAAGATGTGTCAAACCCTTGTAAGATAAAATAAATAGCATAACCCACCTCTGAGCATGTCCAAGGCTTGCAAGCTTCATTTTGATCTGCATAAAATAATTCCTATCAGGAACTGTAACAGCAACTATATATCTTACAAAAAATTAACAAGTTTGTTTCATTATCTCCCTTGACCACTCAAATCCATGGTCCTTCATAGTTATCATGGATACCATATCAAGAGCAAGAATTCATATGCATAAATAACAAGTTAACTGAAGCTGAAAGGAAGATTCTGCATCCTTGAGATTGCCTTGAATGGGTCTTGAATATGAGCTTGAGAAAGAAACCGACACCAATGGCCAAGAGGAAATGAGGACTAAATTTCCTTGAGCCTTAGCATATTATATAACTTCCATGAAGAGAGAGTTATCAACTACACAAATGTTCAGATAAGAAATTTTTTGTGTTCATGCATGAAGTGTGAGTTATCGACTATCGAAAATCAATTAGCAGGGACTTTGATGCTGTAGAAAGCGATGTTCAATTGCTTTCAAATCATATACAATAGGAAACGTATAAAATAATTCTTACATGACTTCACCTTAGGATTCTGCATGGCAATCTTCGTTCTCTCCCTGATGCGTTGAAGGGTTTCTGTGGATCAATTATTTACGTTAATTAGGCAGCACGAAAATTGTACAGAACAAATGCCTGTAACAGCAAACACACCTACCTACCTGCCCCAAATCCAATAACATGTTCTGTGCGTGTAGTGACAACCTACCTGGACTGTGCTTCCTGCCCTTGTTCCAAGGTACATTTCCTTTATTAGCTTTAGAGATCCTCATTCGTCTCAACCTCTCTCTCTCATCCAAATCTGCAGTTTCAGAGTCATCAAAAGATGTGGAAAGCTCTGAAGTGAAGTCGAGATGAGTGTCACATTGAGCTCGATCCCCATGTCCCGGCTCGCTCGAGACCAGTCCCTTTGGTTCGAGGGTCGCTGCAACTGCCTTGATGAGAAACTTGTGCGGTTGATAAGCGTGGTGCACCCTTAGAGGCCGGAGCGGGAGGAAAGATTTCCAGACGGAGAGCAGTCTCGCATCATCAGCAGCAGCAGGAGTGAATGGGGATGAAAATGCTTGACAACGAGGAAGAAGCCGGGCCCTCGGAGTCAGAGGTGGCAGATGGTTCTTCAACGAAGTACGAGCAGTAGGAATATCTGCCCCAACACATCAGATTAAAAAAAAAAAATTGTAACTATACAATCAGAAGAAACGAATTACATGGCAAGTAACTGCATTTCTAGCAGAAGCTACATGAATTATCGCGGCGAAATGGAAAATACGCAAGCAATTCCTCTAGTTCACCACCAGCAACAAGCATTCTGTAGCAGAAAAATTCAATCGAAACCGAACTGAAAGAAACGGAGGAATGGGCGAGCAGGAGTTTTGAGAAAGAGAAGGGAAGCACCTAATGAAGGCATTGATGAGAGCTCATTCAGATTCAGACAAAGATGTAACGCTGATAGAAGAAATTGAGCCGTCCGTCCGTCCGTCCCTCCAATTTCAACGACTGTAGCTAGCTACTACCGAAAGCCAGCAGCATTTACCCAAACAGTTGGAAGGTAGAGATAAGTTCCTTCCCAGTTTCCTCCAAGCAGTGACCGGCGCCGGTGAAGATGAAATGCGAGGCCGCTACGGAGATATTGACTGTCGTCGTAGCACAGCGACGGCCGTCTCTTCTTCTTGTGCACTGCTTCCTCGTCTCGTTTTCCTTTCAGAATTCAGACTGCCTCCGAAAAGATAACGCGAATTGGCGAAAGCTCTCAAAATGAATATCCAAGAAAAGGCCAATAAGCAGGTGAATAAATACGGAATACCCCCCAAACTTTACCAGGAGATTCAAATAGTCCCCAAACTTTATTTATGCATCAAGGATCCCTTCAAAGTACTCTTGATTCGTTGGTGGTTACAGAATTGCAGAAGGGAGGATGACTGGGAAAGAACCAATACACTCACAAGTAGGGGTGTCAGTTCGGGTCCGGTTACCCAAACCGAAACCCGAAAACCCGTAATCGAAAATCACTAAAACCGAACCCGAACCTGATAAGGACTTGCGAGTTCTGGTTACCCGAAACCCGAAAATTCCTTATCGGGCTCGGGTTCGATTAAAACAAAACCGAAACCCAAAAACCCGTACACCTAAAAATATGGGCTGAGTTCTATTCATTGGAGGTTTTTAGCCGGAACCCGAAAAACCAATAAGCAAAACCGAACCCGAAATCGGAAAACCCGAAGCCGAAAACCGAAAATGTATATAATTGGATCGGTTTCAGGTAAACCCGAAAAACCGAACCCGAATTGACACCCCTACTCACAAGTTAGATCGAAAGGACAAATCCTGCCAACATAAAAAAAAAACACTAGTGCTATTGCTATAATCAGTCAAGACTCGAGACTGTAGACACCACACCACCCAGGTCAGAATGACAAACTTCTATACACATTAAGCGATATATATTTCCTCTTTTTTTTTCCGGTACAAAGATGAAACCTTAGAAGAGAAGATAAAAATAAAAAATAAAAAAGTCTCGGCTAGCATTTCATGGCGGTTTGATATAGTTACACCCTGGCTTCAGTTTTTTTACCACTTCATTCACCAGTCTAGGGATGTGAAAGCTGAAGCAGAGGCAGTGCCATTACAATCCCAAAGATTGAAACAAGCAATATCACCACCCAGGCAGGAAATGTCTGCTTTCTTTTGTTTCTTCTTGCATCCTTGGCTGCATCTACCCTTTTCGCATCTTCTTCCAAATGGCCGTCCACTTTTTCAGGCTTAGGCCTCGAGTTCTCGTCTTGTGCAATCTCCGGTTCCATATCTGAATCAGGTTGCCCACCAGGCTGCTGCTGCTGCTGCTCTAGGTAGTACTTCTCAACATACTCCGGAAATAACTTCCTAAATGTTGCGCTGCTAGGAAGAAAGGAAGATGTCATGCGCAAACAATCATCAATAAACTCAATTGGAAAGACTCGTCACAATCACAACACACATGCCATAAAGACCAGCTGCTTCATGACTACCATCAACATTAAAATTCACAATTATTCAAAACCAAGTGCCACCATCCCCAAAGAATTAACATGAATGGAGCCAGCCAGTAGACCATTCAGAAAATTGATAGAAGAAGCAGGTGCACTTAGGCACAGAATGTTAAACAGGGACGCAGAAAGGGGATAACCATAAATGTCGACCGCACACTAAGAAATGGAAAAGAAACTTCATCCAGAAAAGGAGAGGGGAAGATTATGTGAAAAGATCGACGTACTTCTTGCAATTGAAAGCAAGAGAGGCCTCTGCCAGACGTTGCTTCTCAGCAACGGTACTGTTAACACTGCCTGTCGTGGGGCTGTTGTCCATCTGCATGAGAAGGGTAAAATAGAAAATAGAACCAAAGTGAGGTTCAAAGGAAGCAATTTAAACCCTACATCAACAGGTTTTCATTCGAATTAAAGAAACCATGGACATTCTTGAAACTACCAAGTATGAAACCCCTATTCCTGAATGATGAGAGTGCATACGAATTCTTGGAAAATCTAATGCATGCTATTCACTAAACAGTTAACAACTCCTAGATTCAATTTCAATTGCTACAATCAGTCCCAGGAGTAGGCAAGATCGGATATGAATGTTGAAACCAGCTGGAAGATCAAAAAGGCGAAGTGTTCTCACCATGAAAGAAAGCAGCCCGGTGAGTATGCTGCACCAATGACAATAATAAAAGAACATTATAAAAAGATCAAAAAGACCGGTTTTCCATAATGGCTACACCCTACCTCCTGGGAGCTAGAGAAATACAACAATGGAATGTCTGCAACCAATAAAGGGCACACCTCAACCCAATCAGTTTTACCTTGATACGGACCACATTGGATTCCAACTTTCTGGATGAACTGAACAGGGGAACATGAAGGATACAAGCAAAGTTACTACAAAGTATGAAATTATTTCCAATAGAAAAATGATTGCTAACTTACAGTCACTCATTGACAGGCAGATTTTCTTCTGAGTCATGAAACGTCCATTGGGAGTGATCATGCTACCAAGAACAGTTAAAAAGGATAATAAAAGTTAAAGAAGCTCATCATTGGAAAGAGAAACATGAAACTAAATTAAATCTCGAATAAATTCATCGACGAGGAAGAATGAGGTTTACGTAATTCCAGGAGGTTTATATGGATACTCAGGAGGAAACTTGATTTTTCCGTAGTAATATCCACCTGAAAAGAATTTATAAAATCCAACTGAAACATTAAATATCATGAACTGCAACTGGAAAAAAATGCCCAAGAGAAAATGATTTCCAGCTGCAAAACCAGTATTCTCCATTGAGTAGAGCATTGATGACAAGTTGCATACCTGCAAAAGGCGTCCCTTCACTTCCCTCCAATACATAATCTAGAATATCACAACATAGGAAAACAAACAATAATCAGATCTAAGCATAGCAAGGCAATATGATTGACCAGACAATACCAGATCACATGGAAGAGCAAAAGAAACGAAATGAAGAAAAAGGAGGAAATTTTTTTCTTTTGATAGCCGCCTTATTTCAAGTGCATAATGTATGGAGACCTTGTCCAGTTTCTTCAGATTTTCATTTCAAGCATCTACTTACTACAACATGAATCTGTCAACATAAGACTTACAGATAGGCAAGGCATCATTGACATGTAGGAGCGGAACAATAAGAAAAGCAGGTGGTATTTCAAGTTTAAGCCTGTGCAGTGCCAGTGTATATAGTAGGGAACAATGACTTACGCCATTCAAGAATGTTATTTGGGGAAGGACGGGCAACCACGTTGGAGACTGGTTCCTGAAAGTTCATCACAGAACAAAATACGTCAAGTAAGAAGTGAAGCCTACAGGATTCCTTTTCCACCATAGTTAGCCACTGCCAGAGACTATTACAACTGCCAGGAAGGACGATGCTAAAACATTATACCTATACCTAGACCCGGCAACTTTAATGCCTCTACCACATACCAAATACTAGATTTAGGAAGACAGAAACTTTACAAGGACATTCGTTCAATGTAAAGGCAGCTTTCAAAAGTGAGGTGCGTATTGAGGAAGAGGGCATGAGGAATATATACACACCTTGCAGAGTGCCCTGTATTCCTTCTGAAGCCGCTTGACGCAAGCTTTCTCCGCCATTCGAATGACTGAAACCTTAGGGTAAGAGCAGCAATTGCGAGGAGCTCAGGAACCTAGTGCTGATGATGGAAAGAGAGAGGTAGTAGCGATGCGAGCAGTTAATTACACAGTAAATGGGAGGAGAATCATAAAGCGCATGTCATTGATGAAAAATGAAACATGAAATTTGCCGGGAAGCAATAGAGAGATTCGAATTGAACTCCACAACACAACAAGCAAATGGATTGGGAAGTTACGGGTTGAAACTAAAACGAGGAATGGATCTGACAGAGGGAATCGGCGTCGTGGAGCGCGTACGAACGATCAAGAAACCGCAAATTATTGACCAGATAGATAGATAGACACCTTTTTTTCCTGATCGGCGCTTGAATCGTCTCTTCTTCGTTGCCTTGGCGGTCACAGACAGACAGACAGTTGATGGCGCTTGGAAAACCTAGATTGCTTACCGGCTTGCCCCTGCGCACTTTAATCTTCTTCCTCGATTCTTCTACTCCTCCTAATCCTAGAGAGAACTTCCTTCTCTTCTACCGCCAAATTTCCATTCTCCGACCCTGGATCCAATTCCAGAAGTTCCGCTGGAAGCTCCGATCACAGCCCTACGCTTCGCCTCTCCTCCTCGCCGTCGATCGTCGTCCTGCTCTTTCTTCTGGTGATTTTGACAGTTGGAGGGTTTGGGTTGGGTTTTCGTCCAGTTGTTTTCTTTTCTCCCTCCGTTTCTTTTTCCGCGGCACCAGGGCCCAAACTATTGGAGGCCCTTGTATTATTGGAGGCCCTGTGCTGGCGGGCCTGCCAGTACAGGCTCTTGGCCGTGCCTGCTTTCAAGGCTTCAAAAAGCTCTCAAATCCTCATCTCGCTCTTTGGTTTGTCCTTTGGGTGTTTGGGGTCCAAAACCCAGCTCTTCCTTTTTAGAACTCGCAAAAACGCATTTATACCCGCACCTAGAAATTTCCCTGGGTCTCCTCAAGAATCCCCGGTCGGGTAATTTGGCTTCCAACTCGGGGATTTGCTTCTGGAATAATCCCCTACCCAATCGTTAAATTCCCCGAGCGGGTAATTTGGCTTCCAAACCGTGTAATTCTCAGTTCTTGTTCCACTGTCTTTGATGCTTCGTTTCTCCTTCGTCTGAACTCCGAAATAGTCTCCTTTATATCTCAGACGCTCGTAGTCTCATCCTCTTTCTTTTCAAGAAAATCTTACAGGATTATTTGTCCATAAAAAATGAGTTAGAAATCCACTCTTCCTCAGGTCATGCCCGAGTTTCTTCACATGAATCGCCAATTGATATCCTATTGACTTGAAACTTGCGCCTATGGTTCACTTTACGTGCTAAGGCCTGAAATGTGACAAAGGAAACACAACCTAGCGTAAAATATGTCAAAGTATGATAAACACCAAACTAAACAACCAAGAAATGAGGGGTAAAAACATGTGCAAATTCAGTGTTATCAAGGAGCTTACCCCTATGCAACACCTTTTCTGCTTTCCCTTGTCTAGTAGTGTAGTTTTGTCTTTCTTTTCCTTTAGAAATTCGAACAAGAACTTCAATCCCGGAAGTACCTCAACCTCCATATTTGTTTTACAAACCTAAAAAAAGGTCTCTTAATGACTGAGTTAGAAGACGTGTGAGGCCTAAAGGAATTACGATCTTGGTTGCCAACCAAGTAAATTTAACATCTGTTCTACTACGGATAACTAGTCGTTCTCAGTCTCGTATTAGAAATCTTAACGACATATTGGCTCGAACCAGGAACGGTAACTGCGATGTAACCACCTATATCAATGACATGAAGCTCTTGGAAGCTGAGCTTACTTTGATTTACGCTTCTGTCTCTGACTTGGATCTTTTTATTTTTTTTGTTTTCGTGGTATGGAACCCGAGTCTAACTAGTTCTCTGCGAGTATTTGAGCAAGAGGCGAATCAGTGTCGGTGGAGAATCTTCTTGATACGCTAGTCGAGTGTACGGATGACAATTTTGCCCATACCCATGAGTTTTTTACTATCCAACCCAATTGGGTTGGGTATGAAATCCAAATAGATAGATATGGGTAGACTTTGATGGGTTTGTACCCATACCCATTTACTTTGGGTTGGGTTGGGTTTATAACAAATGGATTTGGGTTTGTACCCATGCCCAAATACAAATTACAATTTAGTACCTAAACTTAATAGATATGCATATTTAGTACCTAAATTTAATTTTTTTTGCATATAAGTCCTCAAAATATCGATGGAAAATTACATTTTGGTACCTACTTTTTTGGTCTTACATTTTGGTACCTAAACTTTTCAAGTTTTGCAAATAGGTCCAATTTTTGCATGTGTAGTTAAAACACCCTCAAGTAAATGGATATACATATCCAACCCATACCCATTTAGATTATGGAAGCAATATCTATACCTTACCCAAACCCATATACAAACACCCTAACCCATATGCACTTCACCCATACCCAACCCATTATCAATGGGTCTACTTGGGTTTGGGTATAATTACCCATGGGTGAGTAATTGCCATCCCTAGTCGAGTGTGAAGCTAGGCTCAAGCTCAATATGTTGTTCCCACTGCTTTTTGTTTCTCTTTGGGATCATAGCGTCGTAGTGGAAAGGCGATCGGACTCGTTTGCAGTAAGCCTTTCGTTCTTCCCAACAACATAAGTAGCCACTAGGTCGAGACTAGGAATAGCAATAGGGCATGTCTGGGGCGGGTATCTCGCTATCCATACTCACCCCATGGCAAGTCGGGTAATTTATCATGGGGTACAGGTTGGGGCAAGTCGACCCAATGAGTATGTAATTTATATGGAAAACATTAGAAATATTCGTTATTTTCATTATAAGACCAATAAACAAACCTAAATGTAGTTAACTTATTGGAGAAATTGCGGCTGTCACTAATTTACAACTTTATTATAACTAAAATATGATGTAATAAAAGGAAAATTCCAAGTATTTTGAATAAGATTACATGTAATTAATCAAGAACGGGTCGAGAATGGGACAGGTCAGGACAGGTCGGGTCGATGAGAGTACACATGCCCGCCCCGCCCCAAAATAGACCAAACAAATTGGGTAAAACAGGTCAGGTCGAAATTGTCATCCCTAGACGAGAGCAACAAACATGCCGCGACATGGTTGCTCCTCCCAACTCCATATACGTGAAGTGGGTCGAGACATGGGTCATACTTATGTCTTTATTTGAAGCTATATTGGTCCAAATCGCAATTTTTGTCTATTTCTTATACATGATAAAGATAAATTATCGTGAAGACAAAATAACAATCCTATTTTCACTGTCGTGGTAGGAAATTTGAAATGTGGCAACAATTTTCTCATTCTAGTATTATATATTGTGTAGAGTATATATGTAGACATGTCTTTGCTCAGCAAATTCATTAACACATTAAAAAGGTGAAATGAACCAAAATATTACACTTAACCTCTTCTAATGATTATTGGATCCAATAATGTCGGATTCGAAAGAGGTTTAAAACTTAGCGGTTAGCCAGGCTAAAACACTCAAAGAACCAGTTTCATATAGTTTGCAAAAAGATATGAATATGATTGCTTCATAGTAGTCATAAAAATTAATACTAGTTTAAGAATTATGTATATTGAATACTGGAATTCAATATGCAATATTCGAACCATTGATATTTGAGTTTTGGTTTTAAAGTTATGTTTATCTGTAAGATAGATAGAACTTTTAAAATAAGTATTAAATTTAAAATACAATTAAAATATAAAAATTGAAGAATCGAGAGATCAATAAGTACTTACCCGAGAGATAAATAAATACTTATCGGAGAGATTAATAAATACTTATCGGAGATTTACTAGACCAGCCAGCCATTGGAAAGTCCTGTGATTTTCCTATATTAGCTTCATGTATTTCTAAAGAGGAAATTGTCGTGGAATTTTTTATTTTCACATGGATTTTTTTTTAAAAACGGTGAAAATGAACTATGATTGGTTGAATTCTTGAAGATGTACTATGTGAAAGCATGAATGAATAGAAAATTTGAAATAGGGAGACCCACAATAAGGAAGTGTATATTATTATTCTTTAGACAGATAATTTCAAGAGAATAACAATGATTTTATTGAGCACTATCGTTGACTCACGAAACTATGAAGGCAATATGTTACCCTCAAACTTGTAAGCCCGGCAAGGAAACTATTTTGACAGAGGTGCAATATTGACACATATTACAGTAATTCACAAATCAGGGTTACTTCAAAGTACAATGACAACCAGCGGCGGCAGAATTGAGCTTTCAACAACTTACATACCAGATGACAGCAGTAGCAAAACTTTCAAGCAATGACAACCAGAAAAAGTATACTACACTACCCGACCAACAACTGTACCAAGGACCGGTTGAGTATCTGGAGAGAGGAAGATATTGTGCAGCTAACTAAGTCATATAATCCTGTGCATCTGATGAGTTTTCAGCTTGGGAGCCCGCTGTCTGTTCGTTCCCCGTCGTTCGCTTACTCATGTTAGCTCGCTGCACTAAACGAACCAGTGCTTGCACCACTTCAGACATAGGTGGCCGGAATTCAGGCTCAGGCTGGCACAAATAAGAAGTATCAGCAAACATTTCGATGCTTCTGTGTGAATCAACATTCAACCATGAAGCTAAACTCAAAGGTACAGCAATGGAACACTCTATTAGGCGTATAACAAAGATGGGGAAAAGCAGGCGGATTAACAAATCAAGCATGGTCATACTTCCATCTTTTAGCTTTGACTTGTTTTTCGACATCTAGTCAGCCAATTCTTTATTTGGATCAACATACAATGATGATAAACCCAAGCAAGTTGGGGATTTAAGGCCGGACGAACAGTCAGGCGACTCATGACTCTGGTTTCTTGCACTTCACTTTGTTCCATTAAGAATGGTAAGTGTTCTAGTTCACAGTATATGAAGCAGTCACAAGAAATCCAACAACACATGCAAGTATGTCCAGCTAATGGTGCATATTTGTGTCTACTACACATGCACACGAGTGTATGCTACACTAATACAACTTTCTCGGGTGCAAATGCACATGCATGGAGATAAAGGTAAGGCATTAGTCAGTAACGTACCTGAACACAGAGAGCGATAACATCAGCAAACCGGGAGAGAGATTTAACAGGGTAAAGTCCTTTTAATGCTGGATCAACCATTTTAGACAATGCATCAATGTCGTGCAGCTGTGGTGTTGCCCAACGGACCAAAGATTGCTCAGCTCTTGCCCTTGAACTGCCAAGATTAACAAGATACACATTAAGATAATAGTCTTCACAAATACAAGGCTCCTCTTGATACTTGCAGCACCATCATGTTGATTATGAAATAAATAGCTTGCCTGTCAAATGGTTTACGCCCAGTAAGGAGTTCCAGCATCACGACTCCGAAGCTATACACATCACTTTTGAGAGTGTATTGGCCAGACATAGCAACCTCAGGTGCACTATACCCAGACCCTGCATTCTGATTCAATGCCTGCATATCATAGCAGAAACTAATGATTTCAGGGCATGTAATGATTATCAATTTACCTTCTATAAATCATCCAATTCTACAGTTGAACTCTTCTTCTTACTTTTTTGTGGAATTCTACAATCTAATTTTGATGAAACAAGAACATATAACCTGACACAAAGTGATGGAGGCTTAAATCATACTTATACACACTTGCTGCAGCCATTTGTGCAGATTAATATGCACCAGGAAAAAAAAGAAGAAAATCCATACATAGAACTACTACAAGGGTTTATAGAGGTCGCCCTAATGTTCGTTCATAGATTGAAGGCTGAGCAATTACTTGTCCCCGGAGTTTCTTTTGTCGGACCTTGTTATTTCACATATCAATCATCGTGATTCCCCTACATACAAAGAGGATATCCAGATTTTTCCCCGTTCTACAGGGTCTTCTAACATTCATCAAGGAAAGATCAGAGATCCAAGCTCTTATACTAGCACGGTCGTACTACTCCGTAAGCTGAACCTACTAGTATGATTCCTTGGAATATGAATATGGATAAATTAACGAGTTGTTAGGGCAGCCTTTATTTAAATATAGTAGTTAGGGCTACCAGGCCATCCTCAAAAAAAGGAGAACGCTCCATTTATTGTCACACTATTAAAAATGGCTCAAATTTACCTGATCTCCATTTGGCAGAAAGCTTGCCAAGCCAGAGTCTGAAAGGTGAGGATTCAGCTCGGTGTCTAATAGTATGTTTGCAGACTTTATGTTTTTGTGAATTATAGATGGAGAGCATACTTCATGAAGATACCTGAAACAAGGAGAACAAATGAGAATACAATTTACATGCACAAGAAATATGACCTCATAATTATGGACTAGCATCCTCGGGATTATGAGATCAGATCATATATTTCACTAGGGTCGTCCCCTGACCAGCACAGTAAAAAGCATAAATTAACAGTTCATGTTTTTAAAATGTGATTTTCAGAATAAGTTGTTTGGAACCTTGATTTGAAATGATGAGTTCTTAAAAACAAATGCCAGACGGTATATAATTTTTCGGCAGGGTAGCTGTCTGAAAAACACATTTCAAATTGCAAGTTACCGTCTGAAATACCCATGTCAAGTGTGATGAAGTATTCAATAAATGGTTTACTTGAAATCTTAGCTTTTTAGCTGAGATATCAAGTGCAAATTACTTTTAACTTTTCAGACGATGCACTTTACGTCCAACCACTTCACAGATTTTACAAACAATTTAAGAAACATGAGTTCCCAAAAGTCAAAATAAAATATATTAAACGACACCTAGAATAATTCTCAGACAAAAGAGGGGAGTGCTGATGCAGGTTAGAGATTTCCTGGAAATGAACTGTGGTCTATTTCATATAATCACAACTAGGGGCCACTCAGGTATGGATATCATCTTATTCTACTATAACCCGGCGGATATACCTACAAGTACAGTTCTTTTGAAGAATGATCCAAACAGTCCCATGGCTATGTTCACAAGAACAGAAGGTAAATGAGATTGTCAACACTGGACATTTACTCATGCAGTTGCAACTAAACGTTAACATGGATAAAGAAACATCAAAGAGATTGAGTTATCTTGTTTATATACTTGATGTGAACTTACTCTAATCCACGTGCTGTTCCAAGTGCTATCTTGACGCGTGAATTCCATATCAAGGGCTTGCTGTATTCATCTGATAGATGCAGCAAATCATGTAGTGATCCTTGTCTCTGGAATTCATAGACTAGCAGATGTTGTCCATGCTCAGAACAATAGCCCACTAACTCAGTGACATTGGTGTGATGCAAGTCCGAGATCTTTGAAACCACCTCCACAAAATCTTCAGACATTTCACTGGATAGAGCAGCTGAATCTATTTTCTTCACTGCAAGTACCTGAAGTGGTGTTCGAGAAGGCAGACAATAATTACAGATAAAGTTATGGTTGTATCTGAAATAACAACGATAATCATCCTATTTCACTGGAGGAATGTGAAAGGCAGAAGTGCATCATCATATTTCCATTTTAAGCTACAAGCCAAAAATGAAAGCAAAAAATAAGAGCCAAAGTGTACCTTTCCATCATCAAAATGAGCTCTATAAACACGCCCAAAAGACCCCTCACCAAGAAGATGTTCCATACTGAAGCTTCCAGTTGCCATTTGGAGGTCCGCTATTGAGTATGTTGCCACACTAACTGGGGCTGCAACACGTTTCCTGATAACATGCTTCTTGACAGATTCATCCTCATCAAATGACTTCGTGCGATCTATAGGAGGGGGCTTCAGGCTCATTGATGGCGGGATATCAAAAGTTTTAGTGTTGATTGAGGATGAACTGTGTATGGATTTCATCTCTGCAAATATAATTTAATATGTTTTAGCAACCGCGTCTGCAGGATAAGGAAAGAAAACCTGCAAACCTTAAATCTTCTTAAAGGAAATTAGCAACTAAACATCACAGGGACTTTAACGACAGAATACCAAAGGACTAGCACGTTTTCAAGGATCAGATTCAGATCTGTCTCAAGGTTATCAATGGCTTGACTGGCATCGCAGATGCCAAAATGCCATGGCTGATTGCAGTTAAGATCACCTTGCTAGTAAACTAAGTCACAAGCATATAACTAAGGATGGGCACCGGACTTCTTGATTCACCTATTGCAAGGACTTGAAATTTCAGAATTTCCCTCCGTGGAATTATTACCCCTTGGCAAATAACCGAACAGCATTGCAGTCATATGATAAATACTCTAAACTCCATAGCCAACCAGCAAAGCAGCAAACTAGTAGTGGAACACTTGGAAACACTATCTAGTAGGGAAATAAGAGGGAGACGCAGAC